TTTGCCTTATAACAAACTGCTATAATAAATCTATTACATGCTTTCTGCAGTCCATATCTAAGCTCTTAAATGGAAATGTTGATCCTCCCTAAGTGTATTGCAAGGTTAACTGCAGTGAATTCTTCGGTAACAGATCAAATTTACTCAAAATAGATATTTAATTAGGATAAAATAGAAACCCAACGAAACCGTTTGACACAATATGTTGAAGCTCGAGAGATAATGGGATGGTTTTCCAGGACTGCCCAGAAGAAGGTACTTTTGCAACCAATTTTTATTCATTTGAAAAGAGAAATGAATCCTGCCAGTTTAACAGCTTAATAATCCAGCCAAGTCTTTAGCAATTCTTAACTGAATCCAGCACAGGGGCTCTCTCATTCCACATCCTTTCCTCGGAAAGGTTACGTGAACACAAAGTGTTGGGAACGAAAGTGTCACGACTTGGGTCAATATGTGATGCTCTTAAAGCAGTTACTGAGTTCCATTTGCAAGGAAAGACCTGAAGTTTTAGATTGTTGCTAACCTGTGCTATGTTTTACCCGGTGTTGATTGATCCTATCACTGTAAAGGTGTGTCCTACTTCCAGCTGTGTCGCCCTTTACCTTTCATTCATTCCCCTCCAAGCAATGTTCATCTAAGATTATACATTTTTTAAAAAAAAAGTGCTTAAAGTGCACGTTTTCTTCATTTCTGAAAACAGATTAATTGAAAATCTAAGGTTTTTCGAGCTCTAATTGATGATGGTACTTAATAGACAACTCTTTTATCATATAAATGTATTTTTAAATTGCATTTTATTTTCGTCAAATTTATGTATTGCAAAACAAACAGCATCAACTTTGTCCACAGCATCATGAGGGATATTAGTGTTGAATTATAAAAAGGTACAGAATAAAAGATTTGGTGCTGATTATTAATCATTGACTTTTGGAAGGTTTCTAAACAATGTAAGCTGTCCTAAACAAAATTAACTGAGTGTTTGGTTGCATCTGAAGGTTGTTTGAAAATAATTTGAAACAATTTATTCTAACCTTGTAAACTGGACAGGCCTGAGAACATTTAAGAGAGCATGTGGGAGTTGGAGCCGGAATCGGTTTATATTGCTATATTGAGGCAGCAACAGTGTAAATTAAACTGCTCAAACCTCCTTCTCCAGGCAAGTGATAGAGGCACAAAATAACAAATGTTCAGGTCTGTATTTGTTGGACATTGCAATGCATCTAAATTTATTTCACAGCGAGTTCTCGAAGATCGACTGTTTTATTTGTATCAATTTATTCATTTACCAGAAAGTTGGAACCCTTTCAATGAAAAAGCTAATTTCCTTTTTATTTATTCTTCACATTAATTGCAGAATTTTCTAAACCATATAACCTGCCATAATTTGTTTGAAATTGATTTAATTGTTTAAAGTTATGTTTAAATTGTTTGACATTGTTTGTTTAAATTGTTTAAAGTTATGCAAATAATCTGATATATGAAGGAAACAGGTTTATGTTACAAGATCAGCAATATCACATCCTATTTATGTTACATTAGCATTATGAGGAAACGTAGTGTTATATGTCTCTACATTAATGGTTCTAGTTATAGAGGACTGCCTGAAGCAGGGATTTCTTTATACTCTCAAGAAGCCCTCAGGTTGAAATTCAAACACAAAATCAAAGTGACAAACTGTTTAAAATAGATGTCCAAAGCTTACACCTGCTGTCTGAACGCACTGGTAACAGTCTAACTTTAAACTGCAGGGCTGAAATATGCGTCACACATTTTATTATTTTTATTTAAAATGAGTAACTATGATATAATCCCATTCGTCCACAAAATATAGTCAATTTACTTTACAGTATATTCTGAGATGTCTCAAAGATGTAAGGCGCTATATCAAATACTATATATATAGTATATATTATCTCTTTCCCACTGTTCTGAGATTAAAAGGCTATCACATCACCTGCCTGTTTTGGGGTCTTGCTGTGAATTTGTTTCCAAATCTTCTGAAGAACTATAATACAGTTTTGATGATGTGACACATGTACTATTTAACAATCTGCAATAGTTAATTACAAAAAGCTGCTTATCATGATCGAAATGCAAGCAGACAGGGTGGAATCATCATTTATCTCCTGATACCTACCTTCAGCATTAATATGCTGCAATGCAGCTGCACTGTTTTTGAGAATGTGATAATAATATTCCTTGCATTTGATAATAATAATAATAATCCTTGCATTTGATATAGCGCTTTTCACGTCGGGAGGACGTCCCAAAGCGCTTCACAGAATAGACTGTAAAGTGAATTGACTGTATATTTGTGGGCGATTTACAGTATTTAGTGTATTAGATATTCGTTTTAATTCAATTTTAAAAATCCTAATTTTTAGAGTACATTCATTGTAGAAGTCAAATGGTTATTCTGAGGTTAATTCTAAATAAAATCATTTTTAAAAAAAACATTTCAAAATGACAATTTTAAGTGGCAAAATATTGAAAGACATGCATCTCCTGGCTGAAAATGTATAAATGCACATTTTTATACTGATGTTGACATGCATCGTGCAAATACTTTACTTATTCCTATTTGTCATCATGAATCTAATATTTCAGTCAATAGGTTTAGGGATTTTCGATCGAGGCCCATCGGAGATTCTGCTTTGGGTGAGAAGAATCTGTTCAAACATTTGAGCCGCAATTCTAGCTGTCTAAATGTGGTGAGCTTCAGCCATTGTTACAGTGCTGCGTAGCTAACAAAAAAAACCCTGACATCGCATCTGATACGATTGGATATCATCCTTGAGCTCATATGAAATAACTCTCCTTCCATTCCAAATTGCTGTCTTTCAGGCATCCTATGCATCTCATCACCTTCCAGTAATGGTAAGGAAAGCTCAAGTGCTTCTATTTACAAAAGGATTTACAGCCCTGACCATCAACTTCCCAAAACAGACTTAGCAGTTGTTTTCCCTCTGATCCATCCATCTCCATGAGTCCTGTTCTGATTTAACCTTTGGCTCCAGAAGGCAAGTGCATTTGTATAGTGTATCATTCCAACGGCTGCAATTTAGTGTCAAGGTTAAACAAACCTTAGTTGTTGACCACCCTTGGTTTAAGTTTTGTAGGTCACTCGTAGCGTCGTTTTCTCCAACCTCCATAATTTTATCTAAGCAACGGTAGCATTGCTCTATCACATTGAATCCTTGCCATTAGTCTTTGAAAATAATTCAGATGCCCCACAAGCAACAAGGGGCCAAAGTCACATTTTTTTCCCTTTGAATACACAGACTCCAAAGTTTTTTGTTTTCCTATGCTTTTAAAATTTCCTTTCAACTTCCTTTAAATTTGCAGATGTGTCCTAGTCAATATTCGATCATTTCTGTGATTTGCTACTTACCTCATTGTTTGTGGGGCATTGTTAGGGCAGGACTGACAGCCAGGTTTGCAATCATAACCTTCTCTTCACTTCTAAGTAACACTTTTGGTTAAATTCCTTGGGACGATGATGTGTTCAGGCACTAATCTATTGTTAAGGAGACATTCTGAATGACTGCTTCAGCATCAAATGCATATTATAAAGTTCAAGTGTTATTTTATTACCGCATCTTACGTTGGTAGAAGCTTTTCATTCTAAGATCTATCTTGTTGCAATAACCAAAGAACAATTCCCACTCAGCTTAATTGCAATTCATCCTTGTATGCAATGGTTCTAGTGATATTGCATCTACCATTCCAACAAGGTTATTTTCTCCTAATCAGTGTTTACTGAAAGCTTCATGGTAGCATTCACAAACGTGCTGAAGGTTAGTTTCCTAGGTATAGTCAGAATGATTCACTGCGGGCTTGTGGGGCATCTCCTGTCGAGGTAAGACTGATGATGATACTGTGGGAACATATGCCTCTGTGTGGTTTGTGCCAACTTTTATTAGGCTGTAACTTTGTTTTCAAAGGTTTGAGTGTTTTTTTCTTTTCTCCCTTCTCCAGGTGCCTCTGTTTGCTGCTTCTTCACTGTCTGTTGTCAGGCTGCCAGGTGGAAAAGCACAGCACGCTCACTCTTATTCAGTAATAATAATCCTTGCATTTGATATAGCTCCTTATCATGTCGTTGAGACATCTCAAAAGTATATTTTGTGGGCGAAACAAAAGATTTATTTTTTTAAATCTAATTTTCACTTCTGGGAGGTAATTGAAGCTTTGACTGACAAATGCAGGACTTAAGCCTGTTATGTAACAAAAGTGCTTATGACCCCTTCTCCCCTCCCACCTCAAAACAAATTCTCTCTCATTTCTGTCTCACTATTCTCTCGTTAAGACTCAAAGAAGCTACTGCTCTTAGACATGTCCAATTCTGCCCGCCTGCATGGTATTCAGGTCCAATAGATGCGTGACAGCAGGATGACACACACAAATTTCTAGTACTATACACTGGAATTTGTTTGACAGCATATTGTTGGATATCTACTGCTCTGTACATAATTAAAATAAAATAGAATCTTATATTTTCTAAAAATAGTCATCCTGCCACTTAAAATTCATATTACAAAAACACTTACGATCTCAACACATATGCTAACACATTCTTCTTTACTGAATTCACCATTTGAATGAAAAATATTTGCTTGTTACAAGTCTTTACAAAGTCAATGATTCAGCATCAAAATGGAATGAGAACGAACATTTGTACACTGTAGTATAATCAAAGAAGAAAATTCACTTTTTAAACTGCCAAACTCAGGAAACAGTGCAGAGTTATCTTCTATATTCAAAACTGCTTTGGAAGGTTAAACATTTTAGAATAAAGTAATGTGGGAGGATAGTGCACATTAGGTCATTAGTGATTAAATGTAATTTGCAACAATACATGAAATTGTGATTTTATCAGATTTGGAGTGTATATTTCAAAATCATATAATTGCCTCTGGCTAAAATGCATATAAATGACCAAACAGATATAAATAAGCATTCTCATTTTTCAAAGCATCAAAGAACTGACAAGAAAGACATACTTGAGACGATATTCCAACATTTTTATATGTACGCTACAATTTAAATATTTGGGTTCAATCCTGTCCATTTGCAAAAGGGAATAAAATAGTGCTGACAGGATTTAGGTTTACAGGAAGCATAATGGAGAGCTTTTAAGAATAGAAGTAAGATTTGCATCTCAATTAATAAACATGATATTTTCGATTAGCCACTTTTGTAAAGAATCAATTACCTCATTACAGAAATCTTCTCAGGTATATTTACAGGAAAACTAAGATGGAATTGTGTTCATTTTCAAATATTACTGAGGTGCCTTGAGGATTTCATGTTCAAATGATACGCTATTTTGCCACTAATAGTCATTTCTATTTTCCGAACAATTGGCTGATAAAGTAATTTAAGAAATATGGAAAATATGATGTCACTGTTTGAGTTACCAAGGCAACAAGTTAGTGTTCAGACATCACCATTAGACAAATCCTCTTAAATTTAAAGTAGTTGGAAAAGTGCCAAGAAGCTGAACACTACAGGTATTTACTTTCAACAGACTTGCAGGTCAAATGAACATTATATAATATATGCTAAGCCTGGTTGTAAAAAGTACTGTGTCCAATTGTAATTTGTACTCAATCAAGTACCATGAAAGTAATATAACAGTGTAAGAACAAAATGCAGTGTTTCTATTCCATACTTTAGTTTACTATAAGAAACTGATGTTAGAAGAGGACTTTTTAAACCATTAAAAGATGAACTTGCAATAATATTATTTGGACAGTATATCAGATTATAACACAAATTGATTATTTTAAGACTAAGATTTTTTTAAAAATAAAGAACTATGTAGAATGAGAAACAGGAGCAATAATTGTTTCCAATACAATTCAATACAGCTACGTCCAATAATGCAAAAACAAGTTCACCTTGAAATTCCTTAAGAAAAATACTAATAAAAGTTTCTTAATTTGTCATTGTTCTCAGGAGTATCACCACAACCAGAAGAAAGCCACGCAGGTCTGGATAAAGGTTTGCAGTCAATAAGCTTATTATTGTGAATGGTTGATGCCAGCTTTAGTTTCACGTGAGCCACCAAATCACAGCCAGAGCTGTTGTGATGCCATTCAAAATTGCCATGTTGTAACCCATGTGGAACGAATGTCCTGTTAATTTCCTGTGAACAGAAAATGGAAACTTGTAAGCATTTAACCAGCTTTAAGCATATCAATGGTATAAACAGATAATCAATTGATCCTTAGTCTGTGAAACATCCACAAACGTTTCCATTTGCGCTTTGTTTAAAAAAAAAATTTGATCATGAGAAATAAATTAGGTAACATGGTCAATTTAGGCATCAAAACTGTTTTCTTTTGATCAATGGAGTGCCTGACACAAGTTAAGACAAAGCTAAATATACATATGAGGGAGGAATCCCTAATGGTTTGGCTTCTGCCAAACAACTGCCGTGTTCTCCAGTCATAAGCACCAGCATGTGCGTCAGCATTCTCAAAGTCTTAGAAATATGGGTGATATCAACGTGGTACTTAATCCCCTCATCTGTCTAACAAATGTTAAGAACATTTTCAATTTAAAAGATTAATCCTCATTGAAAACATTCTTGTATATCTCAAGACATTTCACCCGACTAGAAGAAAAGCAGATATCCTGTGCCTGCCATAATCAACTGCTGTGTGACTGTTCTAAGAAACATAATTTAGCTTGTTTTTGAAACCCAATCCCTACTGACTTTCCACATCCACAGCATATTTCACGAGTGAATTTAAGAAGCCCCCATTTGCATTTATATAGCGCCTTTCACATTGGGAGGACGTCCCAAGGCACTGGACAGTGAAGGGTTACTGTAATTTGAAGACTGGTCTCTTAGTCAGAAGTGTCACACTATGGAAAAATTACAAATGATTAAACTTAGCAATTGATCATTTGGGAAATTAAGTAGAGAATCGACCCAAATTCTTCAGAATAGGGCCTTACCCTGAAATGTTATTAAACAGAAGACTTGTACAATAAATTAGATTCTGGGGAGGGGTTACATTTCTTCAGCATTTTCAATTTACGGCAAAGGAAATGCCTGAACAAAAACAGTGAACACAGATGGTTCAGACAATTTTCAGCGTCATTCTAATTTCATTGTAATCCAAAATATCAGCAACTGTGCCTAGAGGATGTCACAATATCTTATTCTGGTAACTTGCTGAGGATTACACTAAGTGAAGCACAACATAATTGCATGTTCAACAAAGCTCCTGATCGGTAAGCACAGAAATTGTTTGTTGCGCAAATCTAGTGTTTAACCCTTTAGGGAACATAGAATTGCTGACAGTTTGAACGGTTGAAGAGGGAAAACATCAACAGTCAAAAATAATCCACAACTCAATCTCATTTATGTTGCATTCCATTCCATCAGAATTGAGACACGAGACGACAACAACTTGTATTTATAAAGTGCCCTTCATTCGGGGCAGCATCTCGGAGCGCTTAACAGTGGCGGAGTCTCACGCCAAGCTGGAGGGAAGGAGGAGGTAACTGTAACCACAGTCGAAGAGGAATATCTTCAGTCATCATCTAAAAAGAGGGGAAGGAGGGGCAAGGTGGAGGGATTGGGGAAGAGAGTTCCATAACTTCAGGGGTAGTGGCTGAAAGCACGGCCGCCGATGGTGGAGCTGAGGGAACGAGGGACAAGCAGGAGGCCACAGCCAGCCGAGCTATTATCATCAATTAGAACATGATGGATCAGCATCGACTGCTACAGAACTGGAAATGTATTTTCCAACAAGCAAGTTCTTGAAATAAAATTAAGATGCTTAAAAAAGCGATGCTACCCCGAAATTAAGGCCCATTTCATTGCTGCCCCTTTATCTTGCAACATCAGTTCAGCTGTTCCCAAGTAATTAAGAGGTTATCGGTCAACACAGCCAACAAATTGATTTTTTTTTGCCATTGGAACATTTGTGTAAATGTAAAAGTTCATTCCATTGACACAAAAGAAAATCAGTCTGACCACAATTCATATTGTTATTTTATTGTATCACAGTATGTGGAAGTACAATTCCAACAATAAAAGTAAGCTGAAAATATTCACTTTTATTTTTACAATATTAGGTTGCATGACACAGCACAGCCACAGGCAACTGTAACAAACACAGATGTCAGACAAGACTGACCCTGGCAGTTGCCAGAAGCACAGGATGACCCAGAGAATTTGTATAATTGCCAATAGGCAAACAGATTTCCCAAGGCCTAATGCATGCTTCAACAACCCATTGCTGGTTAACTCAGTGCTTAAACTTCTATATGCAAGAAAACAGTTCCATTGTCTCGGGCAGATCTCCGTATGTTGAATAAGCAGTGATCTCAGATTCACTGTAACTCCCATATTTCAATCTCATTTCACCCATGATTGCTTTCTGAAATGCAGCAGTATCACAGAAACTAGATTAGCTGTGCGAGTCAGGCTGGCTCAGCGGCAGCGCTCGCACCTCAGAGTCAGAAGGTTGTGGGTTCAAGCCCCAAATCGGTACTTGGAATCAAATAATCTAACCTGACACTCCAATGCAGTACCATCCTTCAGATGAGACCTTAAACCAAGGTCCGTCTGCTTGTTCAGGTGGACATTAAAGCTTCTATGGTACTATTCGCAAAGAGAAAGGAGTGTCTATCAATGTCCTGACTACTAATCCCTCAAATAAAATTGGTCACTCACTCCATGGCTGTTTGTGGGGCATTGCTGTGTGCAAATCGGCTGGCGCCCGCAAAATACATAGTCAATCCAGTATATATTTACAGTATATTCTGAGAAGTGCTTTGAAATGCCTTGACACCGTGATAAGACGCTACATCAAACACAAGGATTATTATTCAAATAAGAACCACTTTCTTTTAAATTCCAAAATTGAAATTAAAATGCTCCCTGTGGTCACCTGTGTGCTGAAATTAAAAATGAAACTCCGAGGATAATAGGTTCTACACATATATTTTGAAAAATGTGAAGAGCTAACTTTGGAAAGCAATCTATTCAGAAGTATCTAAAATGAGAATACGACAGCTGTAATAAGCGCTACAGAGCTATTTAAAGGACAGAACTTGGACACTTCCGTCTGGATTGCCAGCTATTTAGCTACTATTCTGCAGCTATTTGCACAGCTATAAAAGGAGAAGACAGTATTTAAGACAACACTTTGAAGAAGTTAAACATTCCCAGATTTATAATAATCGGTATTGAATGGTAATGTGCCACCTGCTGGCATAGAACTGGTTATTACACATTTTAAAATTGACACTGGTAAAGATATACCAGCGAAAGCCACCAGCAGAACCGGGGCTTTTGAGGATAACGGTTGTGCCTTTTTCATTCGCATACGCATCTACTTTGTATTGTTTATTCTAATCTAACATGAATCCCAAATATTTTGTACAATTAGTTTCTCAGCAGTATATTTGAAAAGTTTAATTTCTTCATATTCTGGTGCTAGTCTGATCAAATGCCTTTTTTTAATTCATATATATTCTGGGTTTTAAATGTAGTTCATTCAAAAGCCATACCATCATTAACATGTTATAGTCTATAACTGTTGAACAATTTAGATATATATCGCCAGATTTTGAGTGTCAGATATACAGTACCTAGAATTTCCAGCAGACTCAGATTTGTAAACAGTCTGAATTTTGACAGATTGTGGCTCTATTACTTCAAGCACCAAGATTCTTTGTTACACTGTACACAGAATGACTCACTGGAAAAAAAATCTCCTAATGAGGAAAAATGTATCATTGCAATAGGTTTTATTGACATGATTTGATTACGACTTTTTCCATTAACCGAGAAAGCTCTTCTCACAGACTAGCTGATTAATTGCGGTTCTAGGACTGGGATAAACAGAAGCCCCAAAACCACTTTGTGGCAAATAATTTTTCCAGACTACAGCAGCATGCGGATCAATTATTAATAATAAAATAGCCCTCGCTGCGGAGTCCTGCGACACTCCTGCACATGCGTATGACTGCACGAGCAAAGTGTGGCATGCATGCACACCAATCGAAGCAGAAGTAGCCAGCCACATGGAGCAGGAATTAATGCAACCACAGCCACCAAAGCTAATAGGCAATCGGACTGACAAAGCAAAAATAGACATGCACAAGCACCTATCTGGCAGACTGCATGGCAACTGGAAACATAACAGACAAGGCATATGGGGTGGGGGGGGGGGAATCCAGATATTAGGATGAATAAGAATATTGTAAGTAAGGAAATTTGGGCTAAAAGCAGGGGGAAGGTTTACGATGATTAAAAGTTCTGGTTTTGGATGGTGCTTCATTCATTCTTCCAGGATACATGTAATTTTCCAGGTAACTTTAAATTAAGATTTCTACATTTGAATTAGTGGTAGGAATGCAGGGCACTGAAGATCTACATTACAGAACAAAATTTCCTTAAGAAAGGCCTGGGTTTAGGGTTGAAGTCAAACATTGTTTTCAAAAAGTACTTACCAGGTTTCAAGACCTATGTACATTTTATTTTGGACCAAATAGTTTCTTTAAATAGAAAAATGGTATAGACTTGTTGTGTATGATATTTATCCTACAGGGGAAAATGACTCAAATAATGTCCCAGCATTGCATATTTGTGTTATTGTGTTCCGGTGGACAAATATCATACCCAACATGAATGCAAACACAAATAAATGTAATTTTGTTTTAGATCAGAAATAAAAATTAAAAGTAACATGTTTTATATGTGCTGATGGGATGAACCACATGGTGTGACACAAGTTGGGATAGATTCTCAAAGCAGTGGAAAGAAATAAAAATTGCTGCTGTTGCCATGACCACTCTAATTGGTTAAAATGAGTCTTCTGATTCAGAAATATCAGTATGGTTGGTAAGAAATCCTTTGGTGTTTGAAAGGAATACCAAACCCGACATAATTACACACAAGGGACAAAGTGGCAATTGCATTATGGAATCGGCTCCAGCCAAAAAACGGATAAGTTGCCTTTCAAAAGGCAAATGTTCTTTCATTATTGTCATGCTGTGATTGTGGAAACCATTATAATTGGGTAGTTTAGGTCACCGGCAGCATTGTTGCTAGGCGAACATCTGTTCACCAAGGCTCAGTTTTCTGCTGAAGCCAAGATGAAAGCGAAATAGCTAAGGTAGTTTAAACACTTGATCTATTCTGCTATCCCAAGTGACGAACTGAAATAATCCTGCAAAAATATTATTACCTACAAAAAACAGTTGCTTCACTGGACAACAATAATAATTGTTCCATTTGACATAGTGCCTTATCACATCACAATATCTCAAAGCACTCAATAGTAAATATAACTAAATTTAGTCACTGTATTTGTAGGTGAACGCAGCAGGCATTTTTCACGATAGCAATGTCCCAGTAACAGCCTGGAGGTGATTGATCAATTTATCTGGAGGATAGTTGCCCTGTTCACGGGGATCCTGCTCAGCTCTGAGGCGAGCCTGCTCACTTAAATGAGTCCCCAGGATATCAGGTAGTTACACATCTTTACCGAAGTGACTTCAACCCACATGAGACGTCCTCCCGACGTGAAAAGCGCTATATCAAATGCAAGGATTATTATTATTAGGTACCTCTGTAGCATCCTTTTGTTTTGCCCACAAAAATATACAGTCAATTCACTTTACAGTACATTCTGTGAAGCACTTTGAGACGTCTTGAAGACCTGATAAGGCGTTGTATGAAACTCAAGGATTATTATTATTTTAGTTTTTTCAAAAAATATTTTTTTCAGCTGCAGTTTATCCTAACGATCTAATGACCTTGCACTTGTTTGCTCTGTCGTTGCTCTATTAACTTCCCATTAGCAGGCGACAGGCACTCCGCATGATCTCCAGAACAGCCCAAAGGCTTCAATTTATATTCCATAGATTCCAAATTTTTACCAGTGGCATTAGCAAAATTTATCAGATTTGAAGTAGTGCGTAACAAGGGAACCAAGCTGATGAACAAACTCACTGGATAAGGTCACAAACAATTCAGGGCTTGCACAACATTATACAACAAACTAACCATACAAAATACAGCACAAGAATGAAGAGACAAAAGGTCACAAACTATGTAGAAGTAACCAAACAGTCTTATAGTTCAAAACTTAACCCTGTTCATGAAACTGTAAACATTAAAGTAACATGATACTCGTATTTATGATTCCTCACACAGAAAATTTCCCCATTTCGACTGCACTTTCGATTACCCTCTCTCGCCCATCTCAGTTTACTCGCTCCTCCAGGTTGGGCTCCTAGTCAGTTGTGTGAAGCTGTGAGATCCCCTCCTGGTATGAAAATCGCTATATAAATGATTTTGTTGGTTGTGACAATTGTGACTAATAAAATCATTTATTGTGTGCTCATGGGATGAAAAATCTAATAATGACTATTGTACATCATGCACTCTACACCTCTCAGATGCTTCCCGAGTCTCAATCGTGCCATCTGGTGGAGAAAATGTCTCTTTCCAACACAGCTCAACTATACCTTCAAACAGGCTGACTTGCGGAGAATAACGCTTAAGCCATACATAAACGTATCTGTAAACACTGCCTTCAGATGGACTAGTTACCCTTCTGTTCACTACTGGGGAGGGGGTAGCAAACAACTGAGAATACAGCATAAAGACAACAGACACTAGATACACTGACCATGACTGCAGTGTTATTTCAGTAATAAACAAGATTCTAGGTATTGAAGTTACAAAAGAAAATAGCTTCTTCTTTAACATGGGTTTCTAATATCGCACAATACTGAACACATCAGGAGAAAGGGCATATGAATTAAATCTAACGTGGTGTCACCATGCCAGTGTTTTCCCCCAGTTAAGTACTATTGTAAAAGGTTATCAAGATCAACATAAATCGTTGCTCATTCTTAGAAAATTCCAAATGGTCTATTTACAAATGTAATCATTTAGAATGCGAATAAAATTATTTGGGCGAAATATGTGCATTGAATCAGAAGACTGATTTAAATGTGCATTGGTCATCATCACTGCAGGGCTTCCATATGGTACAGCAAAGCAACATTTGATGCAAGTTATTCAGTGTAACCAAGGGTTTTCTTTTAAAGCTTCAATAAATTAAATTTGACTCATGACTTTATGGTCAAAAAGAACCGATGATGCATAGAACAGTACATACCACCTCAGTATATTTCTGCTCTTAAAAATCAATAATGCTGTAAAAACAAATTCCCACTGATTTTAGATCAGGATCTTTTTCCTCTAATAGTGATGTAGATGCAATTTTATTGTTGTACCAACTCATTTTTACTACACTTTTTGTATTGAATTAACACAAAACTGAGTCAATATGAAAAACAAAACATAATAAGATCCTCTCTGTGGCATGTCATCATTGACGTATAAAGGCAAGAAATGTGAATCAATTTCAGTCTCTGCTCGAAAATGGACCAGTGAAGTGCCAAGGACTTGATGGTCAAGCTTGCACTTACATATATGGTGCCCATTCATGCAGCTCTGTACATAGAATTAAATAGAAAAAATACAGCATGGTAACAGGCCTTTCAATCCTGTGAGTCCATAACAGTGTTTATACTATAAATGAGCCTCCAGCTTTCCTGATCCTCTCTCCTATAACTATTCCATTCTCCCTTCATGTATAAATCAAATTTCCTCTTAAACACATTGATACTTTGTGTGTCAGCTTCCAACAGTGAGTTCCACATTCTCACAATCTTCTGTGTAGTTCCTCCTAATACCCTTTTAGATTTGCTCACTATATTGGTTATTGATCTTATAACCATAGTTGAAAATTATTTAATTGTGAAGTGCGTTGAGACCTTACAACACATAAGGTGTCTTATAATGTGTATGCATACAATATTATTCATATCATATTCATTAAATAGCCAGATATACATCAGTTCAAAACATCACTGCGTTTGTTTTCCCCAATCGGCAGTGCAAGACTTACAGAAAAGTTTCATCAATCCAAATATATTGAGCTTCATTTACCTGAAACGAGCAGGTGAAAGGGGTGTTGGTGGAAACATTCCAGGTTCAAATGAATCAAAATAGGTCATTGTCCATGAGAAACTGCAGCATGACAGGCCAGCTATCAATGCCAAAATCAATGAACTCCAAAAGCCTAGAAGAATAAGAATCGTTCAGTTCTAAAGAATGTTCTCTTTGACCGAGCCTTCAGCTCCCCTCTCGACTCTCTTCCCCCTCCTCGCTCCCTCCCTTCCCTCCCCTCACCCTGACCATTTCCCCCCTCCCCTCTCCCTCCCTTCCCTCCCCTCACCCTGACCATTTCCCCCCTGCTCGGGTCATGACCCAACTGTGCAGCGCCTTGGGACGTCCTCCTGACGTGAAAGGCGCTTTATAAATGGGTTGTTGTTGTTGTTGAATGTCTAAATTAAAAGTTCTTGTGAATGGATATTAAATATAACTGAAAGGTGTGGATTTCAAAGTGACACTTACTTAATAAACCCATCTTGACACCATCCTCTTGTTTTTCATTATCAGCATGTAAATCTGCAAGTGACAACTTATGTTTAAAAAATACAGATAATTGAGTTTAAATGTTTCTAAAATTAAGACGTTTAGGTGAAACGGTACTTTGAATTCGGTTTACGACGACAATGCTAATTGATTGGAACATTTTGCCAACAAAATATAATCAAGTCACTTGACAGTATATTCTGTGAAGTGCTTCGAGACGTCTCAAACAAGGTGACGCTACACCAAAAGCAAGGATTGTGACTGATTGCACACAGAGGTGGTGGAATGGGTTGAATACCTTTCAAGATCACATACACCACGGCCAGAAGGAAAGAGGTGAAGGAAATCATAACGATGCAGCAAAGCATCGAACAGATCCGAGCGGGCCGCTTTTTAGTCTGAGAGTAAGCGTGCGTTTGCGACATCTTGCGTATCCTGCCTCGGCCTGTCGCGCTGCCGTCGTTCGTGACGCTTTCTTCCGGTGTGTAGTCGACCGCAGGCTCGTCCACTTCCATCAGCTCCTCCTCCAGCTGGCGGGTCAGCCCGACGTCGTCGCTGCCGCCTCCCGCGGGGGACCAGACGACGGCGGGAGACATCTGAGGGGCCGCGGGGCGCTTCAGCAAACGGGGCATTTTTTGTTGGGATGTCTTATATATATATTTATATATATATATAGATAAAAAATGTCGCCGGCGAAGCGAGAGACCCGGGTTCGATGCCCGGGCGGGGCAGGGCGGGGCGGGGCACGTCGGGCGAGTGTCCTCGCTCCGCGGTCGGGTCGGAATCCGGTTTGCTCGTCGGTTGGCGGATCACTTTTCGGGGAGGGAGGGAGTCGAGTCGGTCCCGTCCGAACGATATCGGGTCGGTTTGCGTGGGGACGTCTCCCGTCTCCGCCTCCGCCGCGGTACGGCCCCCGCGGAGGGCCTCCCGAGACGTCTCTCGAAGGGCGCGCGACACGGGCGCCGTATCAAACGCGAGGATTATTATTATTATTATTATTATTATCACTACAATAACTTCACAGGAGAGAGAGAGCGAGAGAGAGAGAGAGAGAGGAGAGAAAGAGAGGGAAGAAAAAAAAATGTACAACTTCCAGTCGAGCGCCGCCGCAACCGGAACAAGTTTCGGGGGTGTGTTTTTTTTCCGCCCCCACACACACCCCCACACACACAGAGAGGGGAAGGGGGGAAAAAAAACCCCCACAGGATCCAGAGAGAGTTCTTTCGCTCCTTCAACGGCCTTCACCGCGAAAGACGAGGCGACAGTTTGCCGTCAGCGCCGCGCGAGAGAGAGAGAGAGAAAAAAGAACCCCTCACGGCCGCCATGAGTCGAGAGGGGGGGGGGGGGGCCGCTCGCGCATGCGCCGCTCGCCGACCCGCGCTCTTCCTGCCTCTCCCGCTCCCGCTTCTTTCGGCGCGGCGCGCGCAACCGAACCTGCTCCGCCGCCAATCCCCGCCTCCCGCTGTGACGTCGGTCGGAGCGTTCCCTCCGCTCGCTCGCTGGCCGGCTCGCGAGGGCGGGGGCGGGGCCCGAGTTGAGCCTTCCGATTGGCCGAGCTGCACGTCCATCATCTCAGGCCCCACCCACCCACGCACGCACGCCCGCGCCCGCGCGCAACGTCGGCTCAGGTTCGGGTGAGCGGGCGGGCGGGCGCTCGCGGATAACCTTTGCCCTTTGGCCGGCCGCGAGGAGCCAGTGGCGTCGCGTCGCGCGCGATCTTCCTGCTGCTGCTGCTGTTGGTGGTGGCGGCGGCGGCGGCGGTGAGGGTGAGGAGGGTCGGGGGCCGACACCGGTTGGTCGGTCGCTCGCGCGCGGAGGGGAGCCCGAGGCGGAGCGGAGCTCGAGCGCGAGCCACAGGAACATGGTGAGCGAATGAGGGAGGGAGGGAGGGAGGGAGAGTGTGAGGAGAGGAGAGGCTGACAAAGCAAAGCCCAGGCCCCGCGCGTTAGCGCTCACAACAACCGGGGCCCTCGTCCTTTATTTGAGGCGGGCCCGGCGGGGAGGGAGGGAGCGCGGGGCCGGGGCCGGCGCGTGCTGTGGGAGGCGGGCGGGCGGCAATGGAGGGAGGAGGCCGCACTCACTCACTCACTCACTCACTCAAGTCAGTCATTCAGTTCAGCGCTCGCTTTACCGCTTTCATTCACAGGCCTTAGAGAGAGAGAGAGAGAGAGGGGGGAGTGTGTGTGTGTGGGGGTGGGGGGGGGGCAGGGCCTGTTCCCACATGGGTTTCGGAGATTTAAACTCGTTTATTTTTTATACCTGGGATGGAAGGGGGAGGGGGTTGTTCTGAAGATTACACAGATATACCCCTCCCCACCCCCTCCCCCCCCCCCCCACACACACACACATTGTGTTCTTTTATATACTTTACTTTGAGTCACTGTGAAGGTAAAAGGGAAGTGGGGGGGGCGGTGGGAAGAGGGGGAATCCAGTCATGGCAGAATGAATGCAAGACAATGAGCTGCTGAAATAAGGTGGTGGGGGGGGGGGAGCGTGTGGTGGGGGTGGGGGTTGGGGAGCGTGTGGTGGGGGGGAGTGTGTGGTGGGGGTGGGGGAGCGTGTGGTGGGGGGGAGTGTGTGCTGGGGTGGGGGAGTGTGTGATGGGGGTGGGGTTTGGGGAGCGTGTGGTGGGGGGGAGTGTGTGCTGGGGGGGGGGGTGGTGCGGTGAAAGTGATGGAATTAGTTTGAGGGTTTTTTCCCATTGATGGCAAATGACCAGACCGGGCTCTTGGGAATGATTAGCGGAATGTGCTTTCTTTTCGTCCGAAGGCGTTATCGCCTTGAAGTATTCATTTTGTTTTGTGCATTTTTTTTAAAAAAAAGTGTTGCATGTAAAATGAATGTTCAGGTGCACATGTATGTGGGTGTGGGGGAGGGGTGGAGGGGAAGAAGAGAGAGAGAGAGAGAGAATAGCCATGGAAGTTGATCATGTTTAGTTGACGTGGATGCAAATGATACCACGAGTCATATTGTAGCTCAGAAAGGGTAGTTAACTATTCCAACAGGTTGCCAAAAAAGGTGGTTTGAGTTGAGGCCAGGACATTAGACTTATTACAAAACAGCTTGATGCTGTCCAGGGCGTGGGATGTCCTGCTGACATGGAGGGCACTATACACATATTGTTGTGGTAGGAGGACAGTAGGGTGGGAATTCTGGAGTTATGCCATCAGGTGGGCTGAAGGGCCTTCATCCAAACTAATCTTGTGATTTTGTGAATGAAGCTGATACGGTAATAAAGGAAGTAAAGCTTACGAATGATCACAGATATGGTGCATTGTGTGGTGCTTGTATTAATTTTTAAAAAAAAAAGTTAATGAAGAGTTTATCCAGCAAAACATCAATCTTTCAACTCACATAGAACAGTGTCTTTATTAGAACTAAGCAAAATGTTAATTGGCCAGAAGGTAGGTAGTCTGACTGACAATTATGGTCTCAAGCATTAAATGCGTGGTCAGTTGTTACATACATGGGTTCTTAATACTGTTCACAATATATAAACACAGTGGATAGATATGAGGGTTTGTCTTCCCATATTTGAATGCCTCAGACTTGGGTATGAATAAAGGACATAATGACATTTAAAAAGAAAAGGTTACTCCAGACAGTTATTACTGTATTTGCATTGCATTAAATACTGAACCTGTATATTATCTGTTATGCAGAATGAACAATTTGAAACACTAAAAAATTTGAAGGGGAGTACTTAACAGTACGGAGAATTAAAGAGACCAGAAGAATAATCAAAAAGACAAATTTTGAAGATGGGGAGGGAGAAAGTGCCGCAGATATTTTTGAAGAGTTCTAGAGGGCAGGGGTGTAATGCTTGAAAGTTTGACAGACACTGGAGGGATGGAAGGAATGAGCAGGAATTAAGATTGTCAGATTGAAGCATGTTTATGGAAAAGAAGGCTTAGAAGAGATTGCACAGCAGGCAGGGAGCAGTGATATTGTGATGAATTTGAAAGTTGGGATGAGGATCTTGACATTAAACCACTTGGCTACTAGTACTCCAGGAGCAAGCATGGGAACATTGAGTGTCCAGAGGTTTGTGCAAGAGTGAATATGGACTTCACAGTTTTAGATGAGTTGGAGCTTTGATGTGCCATTTCCATGCCTCTTTGGGTTGTGGAATTTGGAGTGATATTCCATCAGTGGGTAAATCAAGGCTTTGTCAACAGCTTAGTTGTCAATAATATTACTCTTTAACCAGCTTTACCAGCTGCCTTGATCACTTGGTCCAATAGACATCATACGGTGCTGTGAATCTGAATGGTTCCAAATGGAGTCCATACCCTTTTGGAGTAGGAAGTGTTATGTCATGCTCTATCTTTCTCAACTGAATTGTTAATATCACTCTTGAAGATTTATTTTAATTTGATGTCCCACTGTTGATATCTGTCTAGCTTGTCTGCAATGGTTTGGCTACAACTTGTCTTTCAGGTGAAACATAATTGGCTCTGTAGGGGATAAATCTCGTCAATAGAGTGGGACCACACATATGCTGTAATAAGAATACTAATGTTATTTTAACCTGATTCATTTTTGGATCCTCTGAGGAAGTTGCTTAACCAGTTTATTTTGTAGAATAATGTTTTCCAACAAAATGTCACTCATGTAATCAAATCAAGAAAATTAATATGTTAATTTTCTTGATTTAGTTACCTCGCTGACATATTGATACACAATCTTAAATTTCAGGTGTCTTATCGACAGGCATGATATAGCTTTACTTTATTCATAGTGGTGTCTTTTCAAAAGTAGAGCTAGTTTTAGCCAGATGTTGTTAATAAATTAAACTGTCTGACAATCCTTGGGACCTGTTAAAATCATGTGGTTCAAAGCTACTTTTGGACTAGTAGTACCTTTGGGAAATTGTTGACATTGTCATTTCATATTAAGGCTTTAATTGGAAAAGAAATAGATTTTCCCCAACTTTTGGCTGTCTGGTGTTCTCCATCTGAAGATAGAGCTCTAAGCTATTTCCACTCTTTAGCTGTTTCCATGACGTTTCCTATTCTATTTCTTTCTTGGATTTCTTCTATTATTTCATCCTTTGATTCCTTTTTTTTTAGTATTTTGCACATAGTTGCTTATGTTTTTTTTTGACCTAATTGGTCAAATGAGATAAGTTAATGTGCTGAATATAGATGAAAGATTTTTTTAAAAAAGTGCGTGAAAATACTGGATTGTTTAATGTTGTTTCTTTTGGTAACGCGGTAAGGCTATCTCAATGTTTTTCTGCAAGCTGCCTTTTACTTAGCCAACCAAGGATTATGTTATCTGCTTATACAATTTTTACCCTTGATATGGACCCAGAGTGAAAATTAGGGCTTTGCCCAGTTTTTGAAAGAACATCCAGCATAGCAATGGTTTTAGCTGATAGACATATTTAATATTGTTTAGGATTTGGCAGCCAGAGCATGTGAGGATGTATGGTGCTGCCAGTTGCATACTGGCCTTTTTTTATCTTATGTATCTGAAGTATGAGTAGTTTTTTTGGCTTTTTGATACCTGCGAATCAAATATAATTGAATTTGACTCACCCTCTACTTGTATGAAGCAGCAGTTGAGTTCAGCCACACTATTTGTAACTGTTTCCTGAGCTGGAGATTTTGAAAGGGGGTGGGCTTCCTCTACTATCGTTTCCTTCACTCTCACTAAGACCATGCTTTCTTGATTTACTTTGAAAAAATTATAATCCTGTGAGAGTGTATTAGCTTTTTATCAGTCCCCAGTTTATTCTACAATGTAATGATTATTCAAACTATTACGTTAGGTTAAATGGGATTTCCAATAAATGGCATTTCAAATACAAACATTGCCTTTATTTTGAGTGTCCTGTGTTCAGATGTTAAGAAATAAATACTATTTTATAGGATTTATTATATTCTTCCAACTCGAAGCATGGTGATCGCTGACCAGGGTAGAGAATGTTTTGTAGTTAACTATGGCAGCCATTTGTGCAAGCCAGGTTCAACCAATGAATACCGCACTGGAAAGTTTTTTTAAAACTAAAAAAAAATCTATACCGATGTTTACTGTATAACCAGTTCCAAAGTAGCTCACACCTAGCATTTGTATTCCTCTACTGAAGGTGCTGACGCATGCTGCAGTACATTTCCATGGGCATTGGTTGACTCCTGGTACCCAAGTGGCCATTCTTCATGAGTATAGTTTGACAGCGAGGGAACGGGGGAGGGAATAGCAACCAACCAGATTCCACCCTTGTCCAAAGTATTATATATACAGTATGTATATTATGCAGTCACGCGAAGACTTCAGTAGGGTTTATTGAATAATGATCAGGAACGATGGATGATCTTGGCTGACTTTTATCCCTCAATAGCCAAGGACATTGAGACCATTTATTGTTGCCAACTGAATTTATAATAATAAATAATCCTTGCATTTGATATAGCGCTTTTTCACGTCTTCAGGACGTCTCAAAGCGCTTCGCAGAATAAACTAAAGTGAATTGACTGTATAATTGTGGGTGTAACGCGGCAGCCAATTGCGCACAGCAATGTCCCACAAACAGCCTCGGATTGTATACCAGTAGACAAGATCGGAAGAATTTAGAAAATAACTTTGAAACTTGTGAACCGTAATCACAGAGTTTGATACATAGAGTTACACAGAGTGATCCAGCACAGAAACAGACAATTTGGCCCAACCAGTCTGTGCCAGGGTTTATACTCCACATGAGCACTCACCCCTCCAATTCCCCTCTTCCCTCATGTATGCCTCAAGTTTTCTCTTGAATATATTGATTGTATTTGCTTCAACAACAGCTTCTGTCAGTGTTCTATACCTTGTGAAAAGGAACATGAACACAGTTTAAGTAATTAACCATTTAATTTCTGCTGTAGTCATTGAAGACACAATCAGAAAAGTAATGGCTGTGTTTACCTTGAGATTCCTATATTAATTTACTGTACAAAGTGGCAATTGAAAGAAGTTCATAGGTCCAGTGCAGGAACAAATATATGAAATATTTATGTGGTTCTACAACTTCATGCACCATCACGTTTAGACAATTTTTTAAATTCATTTCTGTGGGGTAGATGTCATAAAAATATTTTTGTTGATTTCCTATAATACAATTGAAGTGCCCAGACAGCTGTGTGAAGTGCTCTGAGACATCCCCAACATGAAATACATGATATAAGTGCAAATTGTAATGTATTTTGTCGTCTCAGTGTTGATTAATTTCATTATTTCAACCACGTATTAAAAAAAATTTCTTTCTTTTATGACAGTCAACATCGGATGCAGCGAATGGACCAGGACAACAAGCGTCTTTTCAAAATGCTCCTCCAATGATTCCACCACCTTTTGTAAGTATCCAGCCACACTTGTGGTATGCTGTATGATCTAGTAAACTACTTGATTATATTTTTTGAAACTAATTTGTCTCCTTAAGATGGGACCGCCTGGTATGCCTCCACCTTTTCCACCCATGGGTATACCACCCATTGGCCAGAGACCACCAAATCTGCCACCTTTGCCACCGGGTATGATGCCACCGATGATTCCGCCAATGGCAGGGCCGCCAATGGGACAGGTACCTTTGGTGTGGTGCAATAAATCCATGCTGTGTCTGCGAATTAGTGCAAGTGAAACTATTTAATAATTCTTGTGGAAAAACGATATTAAACACGTATTTAACTTTTTCTTTTATGTATTTAAGATGCCAGGAATGATGCCTCCAATGATGTCAGGAATGATGATGTCCCGTATGCAAACTGCTTCCATACAAGCATCGGCACCGGTAATTCTTTACCTTTGTTAATATACGATGCATTTCAATGCTCTCTTCAACAAATATTTATGAAAAAATTGGTCCAGGTAACTTTAGAAACCAACTGTATATGGATCATTTTATCATTTATACTCCGGCTTTTTCTTCCACGAGAAAACTAATGATTTTGCTCATTGGTTTCTCTTCTTAAAGTAAGCATTTTATAAATTAAAACTTGACTCCTTCATTGATTTAACATGGAACAGATTATATAGCTGGGAAGAAGATTGGAAGCAAGGGGGCGGCTTGGGTGCATTGTACAAGGTTCCTAAATGCTACAAGCAATTTCAGATAAGACCAATTTTAACCATAGTATAATAATGAATCTTTACTTTCTTAGAAGACTCTGTAGGCTTCTAAATTTTATGGACTTGGAATTGTCCAGAATTACTTAATGTGATGTATGATTTCCTGAATGGTTTGCTGATTCTTTAAAGCTCGTAAGTTTGGGATTTTGATCCTTTTCAGAGGTTTTATGATGTAGTCTTGTTGGTGTAGCTTTTACGTTAGGGAGGCATATTGGAAGGCTTTTGTATCAGAAACATAATCTGTTTCATTCATTGTGTGAAAATGGTTTTAAAATTAATGAAGAGAAAAGCAATAGCAATAACATTTTGTACAATTTTTAAACTTTGGAGCACTGATTACATAAAAGAAAAATGTAACTCATTTGAATTTTGAAATAATTGTTTTTTTAAAAACGGTAAACGACATAGGCAGCCTTTCTGTTGTCATTAAAATGTAATCAAAAGGAGATTGGATTAAGCCTTTTTTTGCAATTACTTTGTTATATAAGCAGTTTAAAGGAACTGTACTGTAATTTACTGTTTTGGGGGGAATTAAAATAAAGCCAGCAATGAAGCTGGAGATGGTCATTTTGATCTGATTTATTCCAAACAATTAACAAATGAATACACCTTGCATTTGATAATAGTATCTTTAACGTTGGGAAAACGTCTTTAAATGCATCACATGATTTAGCGAAAAACAGCAATGTCACACGAACAGATATGAAGTGAATGACCTATGTTATCGGAGGACTCTGGGAGCAACCCCTTTCTTTTCAGAAGATGCTAAGGCATCTTTAACGTTCACCTGAACAAATAGACATTTTAACATCTCATCCGAAGGATGCTATTTCCAACAATGCAAGCTCCCTCAAGCCTGTATTGATTGGAGTGTAAGCCTAGATTTTGAGTTTATAGTCCTGATGTGGGACTTGAACCCACGACCTTCTGACACATATGCAAGAACTCTTAAAATCGTTGACATTTCGAAAAATGTATATTTTTCTATTGCAACAGCCAGGAGTCAGCACCACGGCCACAGAAGTAACTTCAGGTAAGTTCACTTATTTTCTGCTCTCTTATTTGTATTGAAGTTTCATCTAATTTGTGTGAAGTGAATACAGTAAAACTCAAAAGTCTTATCTTTATAAATTGTATAAATCGCCTAAGTCATTCACCCCAGTCCCATTCAGTTTCCTATCAAATCCACTTTGATTTCTTTGGACTATTCGAATTAATCATCTCCTAACTTGTAATGCAGCTCCCCAACCCTCCATTACTTCTGCACTAACCTGACGACGCATGTATACTTAGCGACCAGTTGCATTGAATCACAGGAAACATTGTCTTGATCCATCAATGCATGCGGAGAAGAACTTCCATTTTCCACGATTCAATGCGATTCCAATGCTTGCCGGTCGGTAACTGTTCATGCTGAGACAAGCAAGACACATTGAAATGTAGTCTTGACTCATCACCCCAAGAGCACCTACCGGCTGCATTAGATTACAAATGCACAGTGTAGACTATTGATTAAATCGCATTTTCTACAATTTATGCAGTTTGCCTGCAATTCTGATTGTGCGTAAATCGTACTAAATAAAGGTATCCAGTGAGCTAAATGTTTTTTGTCAAAGGTGCTTAATGCCATTGGAAAATATCTTAACTTTATAAAAATTGTATAAAACTAAATTTGAGTTGCACTTAAAATTTGATCTTATGTTGGTCATTAGAAAATACCGAAGAAGCTTTTTTTTTCCCTGAGGCTAGTCTTAATCCCGATATTTCTTGATTCCCTTTTTCAGCTCCAGCGACTACTGTTGTTCAGGTGAGCTGTGCATTAGTGTTATTTCATATTTATATACTAATAAAGACAAACTGTCTGTGAGTTTGTCTGCCAAGAACGCAATAACCGATTGACGTGGAGACATGATTTATACCTCATCAGAAAGGTATTGCATGGGGGAGTGTCATGGGTATATTTTTGTTCGGGATCTCCTATCGTTGATGAGCTATATTAAAAAATACTTTAAAAATACTTTTATTAAGCCCCCCAAAAAGGTATGCATGGTATTCTGCAACAAAGTAGTGACAGAGGTCACACACCCTTCTGGAGAGATACATTTATATACTAATAAAGACGAAATGTCTGTCTGTGTTTCTGTCTAACTGATTGACGTAGTGACACCATCAGGAGTCCTCCCAACCAGGAGTCATCCCAAAAGTACATGTGTCCAAATATGCTAACAAGTTCAATAGCACATTTTCTTAATCTTAAAGAGCTAAAGATGCCTAAGAAGCGAAGATCAAGCCTTTCAAGGACAAGTAAAAATACCAGACGAAAAGTAGAAGGCTGATTAAATGACACTGGTTGTCAGCGTAGCTGCAATGATTACAGCTGGTATTAAAAAAAATCCAATTGAATATATTTCGCAAACTATTCAGAACCTCTTTCGCCAGCAAAAATATATATTTGATACACAACTACTGCTCCGATATTCCGAACTATTTAACCCAAAATAAGTTTTATCTACCCACCTCTGCATTTGCAAAATTCTCTTAACACCCTCTAGAACAGTGCTGCGTTAGATTGCCTAACCATCCATTGGGTGATCATATGCAACAACCAATTTCTCAAAACAATTCTCAAGTATTTCTCAAAAATATTTCTTGAAAATCTAGTTCAGTATTGTGAAAATATAGTGGAGTGAAAAGGGAAATAACTTGTGCGTGATACTGTAAAGGCCTAACAGGATGATATTGTTTTTCAGGTTACAAATCCTACAGTCTCTACTGTTCAGCAAGTTTCAACAGCAACTGCAACTCCAGTGGAAGAGCAGCCAAAGAAGGTACAAAGTTAACTTTTTGTAGTCTGTATAACAAGATAGTAAACTTATGCTTCTAGTACTACACAGCTTATCCGAAGTTCACTGTAGAATTAAGATAGAATCATAGATAAATGATCTCTTTGATTAGGTAGCAGATCAACTGGCGACATGTCTTCAGGAAGTATCTTTTTCAAATCTGATATTTATAACTTGTCTCATCAGAAATCCATTTGGACTGAACATAAATCTCCTGATGGAAGGACCTATTTCTACAATTCTGACACAAAACAGTCAACATGGGAGAAGCCTGATGAGCTGAAATCCCATGCAGAGGTACGTGGGAGGAAGGGAACTGTTTATAGTTCACTGGATGTATTTATTGCGGAGAATTACCCAGTAGTTATATTTAATGAATAATAGAAAATATTTGAGAGTCAGATATTTTGCTTAATACTTATTATTTTAGCAGTAATTTATTTGCAGAGGATGCTTCATATTCAATAATGAAATAAGTATTTGAATTTTTGATTATTTTTTATTGTCAGATATGTACAATTTGCTATGGAAAAGAAACCGCCGATTTTTCTGTCAAATAGTTAGATGTTTGTAAGAGAATCGTACTACCCTTTGTTAAACTTAGTAGATAAATGATTTTTTTTTATTTTAAGCAATTGTTATCAAAATGTCCGTGGAAAGAGTACAAGTCTGATACTGGGAAACCCTATTATTATAACTCTCAAACAAAAGAGTCTCGATGGACTAAACCCAAAGAATTGGAAGAACTGGAAGGTAAAATTATTTTATCTCTATTAAAACTTTACATCACATTTTAATTATTAAGATATAGTGTTGCCGCTTTCGATGGTTAAATACACATTTAGAAACGTGACAATTGAAGCCAAATGCTATGTTTTTTTTCTTTTCTAGATATGATCAAAGCTGAGGAAGAAAATGGGTACGTTGCAATGAATGAATCTTCAGAATTATAAATGGAAATATTTTAAAATTAAACCTTTGTAGAAATGTGTTTTTTTTAACACTTTGTCATTTGCAAAGTAACAGTGATAGAGCCTGTGGGATGACAGACTAATTTAATTAAATCGGATTATTAAAATGGGTTTGCTGTCAAATAGTACAGCTGTAAACTTTGCACAATATCTTCCTGGCCACCTGCTATGATATGGCATTTAAATGCTCATGGCTAAATTCAAAGCAACAATGAACTACTGGAGACCAGTGTTGAGCAAAAATAATGGCCCAAATTATGGAACTCTGCTGTGTCTTCCTCTTATCCAACCACTTATTCCTCTCTAAAAATACAGGTTCTTTATTTCTATTCATGTTAATATGTCACTTTTACAATCCTAATAAAATCTGAGGAAGATGGGTGCTATGGACTTCCAAGCACTTTGGCATCCTATGCTGCTTCTAGTAATTAGCTTCATAAATTTTATTTCTGCAAATGTCGGTCTGTGAGCAGCGAATAAAACTGTTCAGTCCAGGAAGACTGGAGTTATCAGCAATCTTAAGAATTAATGTATAGGTTTGATATCAAATTTAGATACCAGATATTTATTCTTTATTCCTAAATGCATATTTTCTGCAGAATAAAGGAGGCTGCCACTGCAGCAACCTCTACTCAAGAGGCAACATCAACTACCACGGCAGAGGTTGTGGAGAATGAAGTTACAACCACCGTTGACAATGAAAAGCATCAGATGGCAGCTGTGGAGCAGTCAGAACCTGAACCCTCCAATGCTCTTTCCCATCCGATAGAAGAAGCCACAAAGCAGGATATTCAGGAAAAGTAAATTTAATCTTGTTCTGTATGATTTCTAGTCAAATTATCTCTCTGGCATTTGCAACTTTCCAAACCAAAATATATTACTGAAAAAAAATGTTCATTTCAAAAAGGATCTGTTTTAAGAATTTAGTATAATTAATCACAGCGTTCCAGATGAGGGTGGGGGGGGGGGAAATCAGCCACTGGAGATGTGCTTGGGTGGACGATAGATGAAATGCTGAGGCTCCCTTTCAAATAGCTTACATGTAATAGTGGTTACATTGGCAAGATGCTAAAGTGTAGCTATGGAACCAAACCGCAATAAAAGGGATGAACGATACCTTCGGAATGGGGAGGGAGATAGTGTGCAAAGTAAATACTGTGAATATTTTTGTTTTTGTAAAGAACTATACAATTACTTTTCCTTTCCAGTGATATTCCAAAAAAAGAAGAGGAGGTGAAGAAAGAGCCAGTCCGGAAAACCTATACATGGAACACCAAAGAAGAGGCAAAGCAAGCGTTTAAAGAACTCTTAAAAGAAAAGGTACAAACCACCTTTGTGTCCTTAGTATTGGCAAGGCTGAGCTTGTAAAACAGCTTAGCTTTTGTATGTTAAAAATCTATAGTGCTGTGCTTTCTACACACTATTTTAATAGAAAGCAAAAGAAAAGTTGCAGATGCAGGATATCTGACAGTAAAAAGCTGAAAATTCACCATTTTCACTATTCACTATTTCATACTGTGGAGCCTTGTTAGCATGATGATCCATAACATTGATATAACAAATCTGCCAATGGCAACTTTCACTGCATTAGTAAGTTGTAAACTACTGGAATAATATAGGAAGGTCATTGAAGGAAATAGTACAGATGGATTCAACAGTGCTTTTGCATAGAGAAAGTGTTGAGGGATCTGGTGATAAAACAAATGTTTAATTTCATTTTAAAAAGAAATGAACTTGTTGGGTCTGCTTTTCCTTCGCCTAGACATTCATTTGTGTGATAATAGTGGGAAGGATTGACCTTTATCATTCGTTGGCTTTTAAGTCAAAATAAATTTTCGTGGTCTCTTCAAGCAAAGTTCCTTAAATTAGTTTGTCTATTTCTGCTGTTTTCTATTCAGGAATCTGGATTTTTAAAAATAAGTGCTTTTATATAATAAATTTAAATTGAATATGGATTCCATTAAAGTAAGATTGGGTGATCCTGAGCCAGATATGAGAACTGTAATGAAATCTTCATGTTTAATCTTCAAAGATGATGTGTGTTTCCATAGGGTGTTCAGTCGAATGCATCATGGGAACAAGCAATGAAGATGATTATAAATGATCCCAGATATAGGTAAGCTTGAAACTTGTTTTCTGTTTAAACCGTTTGTGACCCTCTACTCTTTGTAAAAATATTTCCCATTCACTGTCTTTTAAAACCATAACATAGTAAAACCCAGCTACACATAACTATTGCAGCAGTAAACTATTATGTGCCATTTAAGAGCTGCTGTCCATTTTTATGGATTGGATGTTTAGGGAAGAGACAACCAAAATAAGACATGGCCTACTTAGGAAATGCTGTTAAATATCTCCTTACCAAGTGTTTGTATTTTTACAGCATTTAGTTTCAATTTAAACTTTTAAGATCCTGTTCTGTTTGCTCTCCGATAACTTCACATTTCACTCATAAAATACACAAGTCAAAAGTACGTTATCGTATTTTCTGTGAAGCGCTTTAAGACATCTCAATAACGTGATGAGGTGCTGTATCAAACGCAAGGATTATTATTTTCTTTTCGTGTTAAATTCCGATTGGGCATGAAATCTCACCTGGCCTCTATGTCTTGGTGCTTCACAGATGGTCTCTTTAGTCACTGGACCATTGAGGAGCATTGCTTTCAAGGTTATTTTCAGTTAGATGATATATAAATCAAATGTAGCAAGCCTCCTGATCCCAATTGTTTGTTCATCAAAAACATTATAACTTCAGTCAAGTACAAGAAGACTTATGAGAGGATTGAGAAATTTGCAGCCTGGCTCCTGTTGGAAACAGGATGTGAATGAGATTGATATTAAGAACCAGCTCTGCTGTGTGTATGGAGGCAGGAGCAGGTGGGTTAAAGATGCAATGAAGTGATTCTCAAGTAAATTAATCAGCTGTTTACTCCTGCAAGTGAAGGGATATCGCTTTCAGCATCAAAGCGTTTAGGGATGGGGAAGCTGGATTCATACCGGTGTTAATTAGATTTATGGGAACTGATGAGAATTCTGTAGAAGCACGTTTGCAGCAACAACTTGCATTTATATAGCGCCCTTCACGTGGGGCTGCATTTTCGGAGCGCTTGGAACAATTGCCACGTCTCAACGATTTGACAAATCAATCTTTTAAAAACACTTAAGTAACATTTAATGCTTCTTTAAAAGCTATCGGGCTATTCACTGGACTTCCTAGGAACTAACAATTACCATTTCTGAACAGAGCTTAAACCAAGATACACCACCTGTGTTTGTGCTTCATTGATTCGCACCAATGTGCTGCTGAAACCACCTTCTCAATGTGATCTCAGCAACCAGGCTCCATGCAATTTCCCCTTTATACAACATTTCCCATCAAAGCACAGTGTAAACTGGATGGAACTTTTTTTCCTGATCTCTCCATCAGATGACAGTGCATTGTTTTTTCATTTATATTTTTATAAAAGAAAAGACTGTTGGAGAGATGCACATAGGAGTAAAGTTTGTTAATTCATGTGTGGGGGAATGTCCATTGGTATCCCTTTTTTGGAAAGAAGTGATGATTCTCACTTCTGAAATAAACAAATCTTCCATGGGATCCCCAGATTGCTCTATTCGGGGACTTATTTAATTTGTGTACCTCAGCTGATAGGACTTTCTTTTCTAATTGCAAAAAGATTAATCCTATAAAATTGGAGAAGTCATCAATCACATTCATCTAAGTTGGTGAGTAGATGGTACATCAAAGCTCTGAAATCTACCGGGTAACAACTCGAAAGAGACCATGCACAAAAATGATTTGGTCTCATTTTTACATAACATTTCAAATCGAAAACATTTTAATTTTGGGAATTATTCAGGTTCTAAAATAATAGTTTTAATCCATCGACTCTGAAAACATTTTAAATGTAGTTTTATATTTCATGGCTGTGACCATGTTTGCTAATTTGGAAATAATTGAAATGCCGTGTATTGATGTTATTTTCTGTGAATTTATATTGAATTTTTTTGTTGCATTGCATTAATTAATTTTTTTGTTCAAACAAAAGCTGTCTGTGCCTCCCAAGGATTTTCCATTTACAATGCTTGGTTCTTTGTTTACTTGAGTACCTTTGTAGAATGTCTACATGTGATTTTCTTCATATTGTTTAGTTTTGCAATAATTCCGAGAAATGCATTTTATCCAGAGGAATCACAATTAGTTCCACTCATACAGCAGTAAATGAGATATCTGAATATTGTGGATTCTTAAGTGTTTTTTTTCCCCCTAAGACTTGTGGCTCTTGTGAATTTTAATTACTTCACTCGTGCTATTCACTTACTTATCACTCTCTCCTTTGAACTGCGCAGTGCATTACCAAAACTTAGTGAGAAGAAACAAGCCTTTAATGCATATAAAATACAGACTGAAAAGGAGGAGAAAGAAGAAGCCAGACTTCGATATAAAGAAGCTAAGGAAAATTTTCAGCGGTTTCTTGAAAATCATGAAAAAATGACATCTACTACCAGATATAGGTTTGTGATATTATTACGTTTTTTTTGTTCAGTCAGATGTGTAGAAAACCATCACCAAGTTTAAGAATATCCAAAGCAGACTGGAGCTCCACGTATATATGCTATCTACAACTGAAAATTTTCCTGTGCCTGGGGTGGAATGCGCACTCTCTGTTTACCATAATTCTGCCCACAGTCTATTGAATATCAGTAGTTATAATGGTGATCTGCTATTTATTGTATTTCATTCTTGGTTTTGCTTTGCTATTTGCTCTGAGGTAAAAGACCTCATGGCATTGAGTCCTCTGAGTACATGTTTTTACCTTCTAAATGTTGCTGCATAATCTTGTTGACAGTGTCAATGAACATGAGGTTTCATTCCCCTATGACTGCCAACCCCCACTCCGCTCCCCCCCACCTCCCAACCCTCTTAAGTCTGTTCTGTGGTTTTGGCCCAATCTGCAATCATTATCATCTGTTTCAGTTAGAATATTCGAGGAATTATTTGTAGTATTACAATATTTTGGCAGGCAACAAATATTCCAGTGAAATATATTTTTGCCTATTTATTTTAATTGTTTTAGGAGAACGGTTTCTTAAATCATCTTATCCTGCCTCTCTCCCCCTTTATTCATGGTCCAGTAGAGGAACAGGTACAGTGAGTATTCTATTGTGTTAACTGTTCTACATGCCGCCTGGGGAAATGGGTTAAGATGAGGCTGGATAGAATAATCCAGCTGCAATTAGCTTAATTTGCTCATACACAAGCAATGTTTTTTTAGAGTGAGGTACCCCAATGCTTCTTTGGTTTTAAAATAAATACAAATGTAATTGTTTGGTGCAAGAAATTCTACCATCAAGACTGTCTACTTAAGTAACACAGCACTTTTTGCCTTAGTGTTTTTTTTACATAAGTTTTGTTTTCAGTCTTATTCACCATGAGTATCGCATTGAAGAGTGTTCATATTAGTAGCACAAAGACAGTAGTTATTACATAGCGCATCACCCAACTATTGAAGCAAATGTATGTTTGGGTGAAATTTTCAACAAGTAAGTTCTTATTTCAGTGGGACTGGGATATGAACTTTATGCCATAGGTGAAGAAAAATTAGTACTACAGCATCAAATACTCAAACACATAACTGTATATAATGTATCTTTGTGTTCACATAGATGCGTTTGCTCTATTCTATAGGATACATATAATCACCTAATCCGTAACCTATTAATATTGACCTTCCTGAAGTGGGAAAGATTTAGTAGGTGTAGAGTTGACCTGTCCTCTAAGGTAAACAAGTCATTTACACACAGGCCACTTAGCATCGCCTAAATTTAGCACAAATGTTTAACACTAGGGAAAAACACATTACACAAATGGCACACACACAAGTGCAAAGACGTCACAGATGTATTTTACACCTTGAAATTGGGCCTAATGTTGATTCATCTAAAAAATACTATGTAACCTGCAATTGTAGGTTGCTAAGTTGTTCCATAGGAACCAAAAACAAAGTGATTGACTGTAGTGACTACAGCTCCCCTAGCGAGCAGAAAATCAATTTTACTGTCCTCTTTTGATGAGAACAGTGAGTTAACTTTATTAATTTCTTTCTTTCTATTCCTGTTGATTCGTACAGTCCTAAGTTGTTTTCTACATATATTCCTGTATAAACATTTTGGTGTGTTGCCTTCAAGTCAAAGAAGGAAATATCCAAGCAGCTTCATCAAAGGCATTGATTATTTTTCCCATGTAGAAGCTGTATGCTCTGGGTGAGAAGAACTTTGGTAGTAGTTGGGGAGTTAGGTGGAACTTACCAAGAAAATAGATTGAAACTCTAATGTATAATGAGTTTACTAATAATACATTTTGTTTGTTGTTTATTATTGTAAGAGATGTATTCACATTATGGCTGTTTGTAGGACATTGTGTGCAAATTGACTGCCTACAAATACAGTCACTATACTACAGTAAATCCTGGGCAGCAATTTGAGACAGTACAACAATGTGATAAAGCGCTATGTCAAATGCAAGGATTATTATTACAATAAATAAGAAAAGGCTAATTTTTATTGGGATAATGCAATATTGTTGTATGTGGTTTATTAGTATGTTACTGCCATCATGTGGCGAATAATGGTCACTGAAGTAAATGCACAGTAACTATTCATAATCAGAAACACCGGTGCAGCCACCTGTAAAATGGAGAAGGAAAGCAATTCATTTGTTTCTATCTAGTTTGCTAATAACTTTTTTCTATTTTTTCAACCCATTTAAAGTTCATTCACTTGAGTGGCTTACACCAGCTGGTGGATTTTTAGCACAATCACATTGTGCATGTAGAGGTGAAAAATAATATGTCGATTTAATCTAGGCACTGCTTGACGCAATGAGTTACTGAGATGGATCCTGTCCTCGTCTAACATCCACACATGTGCAGCTTCCAGCAATGTCTTTGGTTAGCAATCAGAAATGGGAAGTCAGACTGATTTTTCCCTAACTAACTCAGAGTTGATAAAAGCATTTGTAGTGCCCCAGTGAATCTTGATGCCAAACTATGAATGTAATTTTATAACTGTTTGATTTTCCAGGAAAGCTGAGCAGATGTTTGGAGAGACTGAGGTGTGGACTGCAGTTCCTGAACGGGACCGACAAGAAATCTACGAAGATGTTTTGTTTTTCCTGGCTAAAAAAGAAAAGGTTTGCTCATTGCATAAAATTATGAAATTAGATAAGGCCCATCATGTGAGTGTTTTGGGGATGTCTTTGTCCATGAATTAATATGGTACTGTCAATCATGATCTAATTTCAGGAGCAAGCAAGGCAGTTAAGGAAAAGAAACACCCAAGCACTGAAGAATATACTTGACAACATGGCAAATGTTACTTACTGCACTACGTGGTCAGAGGCACAACAATATCTAATGGATAACCCAACTTTTGCAGAAGATGAAGAATTGCAAAGTAGGTTATTCTAACTTAGTGGAACACTCAAATTCTAGTTTCCTCTATCCCTCCGCCTTGCCCCACTCCTTCCCCATCTTCAGGTCGTGCCTGAAAACCTTCCTCTTTCACTGTGCCCACGGTCACCTCCCCCCCAGCTCGGTGTCGTGCTCCGCCACTGTACATGCTTTATTTATGAAGTGACATTCGTGGAAAGTAATTTTATTCAGGTATTAATTCACTAATGTTTTATATTTTCTAGACATGGATAAAGAAGATGCCCTGGTTTGCTTTGAAGAACATATTAGAGCACTGGAGAAAGAGGAGGAGGAAGAGAAGCAGCGGGGATTGCTTAGAGAGAGGAGGAGACAGCGCAAAAATAGGGAGGCTTTTCAAGTAAGGGATAAATTAAGTAAATGTAGTAGTCATATTGTATGCAATGTTTTAATATTTTCAGGTTTATTACGTTAAGGTTTTATTAGTGTATACATCATCTTTTCATACTTTTAAACTGTGACCAATGAATGTTATCTCAGAACTGACTAAAACAAGTGTTTTTTTTCCAANTTTTTTTAAATGAACCTGTACTATCACAGTCTTAAATAGGATTACTATTTAATATTCAAAAGAAACATCCATGCGTTAGATTCTCCAGTCAGATTTACGGGTCTCAAGACATGTTAAATATTGTAAATAATGAGGGTATAACCCACTGAAAGCTTTGATGATGGGTATCAATTCAAATATCTTTTGAAGTGCAACTTGATTCTTGCGTAAAAGAGTAAAATGTTTTATTAAATCGAGATTTTCATTAACTGTAATATTTTTGCAGGCGTTTTTAGATGAGTTACATGAAAGTGGTCATTTACATTCGATGTCTACCTGGATGGAACTGTACCCTGCTATCAGTGCTGATATTAGGTTCTCCAAAATGCTGGGACAGCCTGGTAAGCTTGCTTTCTACTTGTCTTCTTTTTAATCAAAGTTTCCAGTACAGAACAAACTAGTTAAAAATTCTGAAAGCAGATCTGGTCTAGTGTGTTATATGTTCATAGCAAGTGGTGTTTTGTGTTTAGGATCCACTCCTCTTGATCTCTTCAAATTTTATGTGGAAGATCTGAAAGCACGTTTCCATGATGAAAAGAAGATAATAAAGGATATTTTAAAGGTATGCATTACCAGTTTCGTGTATAGAAAATGTACAACATGAATTTATACAGCTTCCAAATTCAAGTGAGGTTTTTCAGCCCGCAGTTGATGACTGAAAAATTCCAGTATGAATTGTTGTGAAATGCTGCCAATCATAAACCGCACCATCGTCTTCCTGTATTGATTGTGTGCTTGATGAACCTTCCTTGTAGAGAATTTTAATGCATTGCACTGCTATCAGTTATACAGTATTTTTATAAATTCTTCATGTTTGCAAAACATAACTTTGTTCACTTGCACAAATTAAGATCTGCACAAAGCACGTAATTTTGTTTTGGTAAATGTCATTCACTCTACATGTACTAATTAAGTTCTACTGCAAACAAAAACAGTTTATAGATATACTATATGAAGCTTCATCCCATCTCACAGAGAATCATTAGATATGCACTTAATTTATATGTCCCAGAGACAGAGGATTTAGATTTGACAACTTTAATTGTGCCATCTCTTGGCATATTATGGATGTGACAAAATTTTAAACCATTTGACTTCTAATCTAATTATCTTGTAGTAGAGAACAGTTGATCATTTATTTGAAAAATACAATGAAACTGATAACTTGTCACCTCCAGGGAAATAGCTTAAATGGCTACTTATCAGAGTTGATTAGTTATCCAGTGTACATTATCGATACGACTTATCTCGGGCTGGTTATCAGAGCTTCACTATATGTTTTAATTTCAAAATGTTGCTTAAATCGTATATTGCAAATATTGTGAAAGCATTATGGTTCTAATGTAAATGACAATATTATGTAATCTTTCCTTCACCTGCAGGATAAAGGTTTTGCGGTGGAAGTCAATACTACCTTTGAGGAATTTGGAACCGTAATCAGCTCAGACAAGAGAGCAGCTACACTTGATGCTGGTAACATCAAACTTACTTTCAACAGTGTACGTAGCTTTTCAATTTTTTATTGATGTATTCTTCATGTAATATTTGACTGGTAATCACTGCAAATAATTTGAAGACCAATCCTCAAAACTTATGAATGTGAGACCAGGAAAGTTATTCTCTGGTTAGCCTGCAGTGGAGGGTACTCTTTGTTTGGTAATCACTGTATATCTCAGTACATCACCAGGTCTTTGTAACTATTTCATGTGAACTGCAAAGGAGAAAAATCTTTTTAGCATTGTCAGAAGTAGGTTATGATCAAATCAATGCTTTATTGCAGTTGCTTGAGAAAGCAGAAGCTCGAGAACGTGAGAGAGAAAAGGAAGAAGCTAGGAAACTAAAACGAAAAGAAACTGCTTTTAAAAGTATGTTAAAGCAGGCAACACCTCCGCTTGAACCAGAATCCAACTGGGATGAGGTACGTACATGGGTCAATGTGTCTAGAAAGTGTGGAACCAATTTCAGATTTGCATGTGTATTTCTGTATTTTTTGCTAATATGTTCTTGATTTGGTATTACAGTTTATTTTTCGACAATTGTTTCAGACTGATGTTTTAGATGGCTGATAAACATTATATTTCTTTTCAGGTGCGTGAAAGATTTGTAAATGAGTCTGCTTTTGAAGACATTACGGTAGAATCGGAAAGAAAAAGACTTTTCAAAGAATTTCTCCAAATCCTTGAGGTAATTATAAAAGATTCTGCTACAGTCCTCTTGAGGTAATTCTGAAAGCTGCTGCTACTCACAGAAAAGTGAATTGGCTGGCTTTTCAAACAACTAAAAACTTAAGGGCAAAATATGTATGGTATGTTTAGATTGGGAGGAATGCGACCTTTTTGAGATTTGTCCAATCAAGTCATTTTAACAAGTGCAATCAAGTGTAAATCAAGGTGGTTCTTAACGGGACTTGACATTAATTTTAAATCACGAGGAAGTGTAACTTAAAATGCATTTCACTAAGGTGCGGAAAGTTAACCTCCGCTTATGTTGATGCAGATTTCCCACTGGTTCACGCAATGCGTGATAGTACAGGTTCATGATTATCAATTGCAGTCCTATTTTACTTATTGACCATTTTTGTTACAAATTAGAGTAAGCAAAGATTGTGTTTACAATCTTACCATGTTTGAGATTTATTGTCTCTCGTTTTTCCTGATTTAAAGATAATACAGAAGACGAACTTTGTTTTGCCAAAGTTACTTTTTAGAGGGCTACAGGAAGATTAATAAGAGTAAACTACTGTCCATATTTTAAAAAATTGTTTGACAAATATTTGCTCTTTTATTCTTGTGGAACAGCACGAATGCCAGCATCATCACTCAAAAAGCAAAAAACATTCTAAGAAGTCGAAAAAACATCACAGGAAACATTCTCGCTCTCGTTCAGTAAGTGCTTCTATTTAAACTGCTTATTAAAACCTTCTGATCATCGTAATTGATACAGAGACGTACTTCTAATGCGTTCTAATGAGTCATCTGTAAAGACAGTGAGGACACATTTTGAAGAGCTGTGGTTAAGTTTATCTTTATCTGTGCAGGGCTCAGAGACCGAAGAAGATGATTATCACCATTCTAAGAAAAAGAAACGGTCTCATTCAAAGTCTCCTTCGGACCGCTCATCCAGTGAAGAGTCGGGTAAGTCGGGATACCCTAAACCCTTTTTACATTTCTTGTGTGTGTGTAGAGTTAAAATCTATTACGATTTTTAATGCTTGCTTTTTTAATATTTAGAGCGAAGTTATAAAAAATCCAAAAAGCACAAGAAAAAAGGCAAAAAGAGAAGACGCAAGTCTGTAAGTATCACCTGCATTTTAACTTTCGTATATTCTGTGTTTCACCAAATCTGTTCAGGTACGTCTTCTTTGAAAGTCGCTGTATGGAATGTTGCTAATGTACTGTAATACTTTGTTGCTTCAAAGTAAAATTATGTGAAGTGCTTTGAGATGACAAGTCAAAGATATTTCATAAAAATTTTAATATCAAACATTTTGAATTGCTAAAATAGGGCTCTTTGGAGCGCTCTGGGACGCTACCCTGCATGAGAGGCGCTATATAAATGTACGTTGTTGTAACTCTACAGGTGACTCCTGAATCTGAAGGAGAGCGAGAACGAGAGCGTGATCGTGACCGGGAAAGGGACCGGGATAGAAGAGAAAAGGAACGAAGCAGGGATGATGAAAAAGAAAGAAATCGAAATAGATCACAATCAAAACACAAATCACCTAGAAAGGCCACCAATAAAGACACGGTGAGTGGTTTTCTGATTGATTAGCTCTTTCTTCACGTAAAGTGATTTGATAAAAACATTCTTAACCCTTCTGAGATTCCTCCTTCTGTTCCAACTAAAACAGTCCTATTTTTTTTCAAATGTTTCCACATAACTGAAACCTCTTGTCTTTAGGCTTGATTGTTCTGGCACTTTTTCTCCACAGGCTAATTGGGATACCTCTGACAGTGAGCTCAGTGAAGGAGAACTGGAAAAACGAAGGAGAACACTCCTGCAACAACTTGACGATGATCAGTAGCTAACACTTGTATGAATCAACTGAGCCGAAAGTTGGGTGAGAAAAGCAACCTTTTCAACTAACAAACTTAAAAGGATGACACGTAATTTTAAGAGCTTTGTTCACCTGTTGTAATTTTTCAGGGTGATATGATTTGGGTAACAAAAATAAATCCCTCACACTTTCTTTGAATGGCAGTTAGCAAGTTTCTTTGAGTAAATCCTACTGATTCCCCCAAACTGCCAAATTCAAGTTTGGCCAATTCTCATGTACTACTGTACATACTGTTCATCATGAGACTTACACCTCATTCATAGTTTCTTAAACCTCCGCCATAAAGAAAAAGCAGAGAAGCTGTTCTCTTTCTGTTGCTATCTTTATAGCAAAGATTCTGATGTCAGAAATTGCAGGCAATTCACTTGAGGTTTTGGAGAATAGACTTGAAGACATCCTCTGTGCTATTTTATTTTTAGACCTTTGCCTAGCAATTCCTTTGCTTCCTTTTCTATTTAGGGACTCGCCAATAAACATTGGTGTTTTATTTGGTTAAATGTTAAATTGTTCGTTATTGAAATGAGTGGAAAAGGAAATTCACAAAATACATAGTTATATTGCAGTTATATTCTGTGAAGCGCTTTGAGGCGCTATATCAAATGCAAGGATTTTATTAATTATTATTAATGGTGATGAAAATTTAAACTAGCTGGGCACTGCTCTGAAGATAGTGTGGTACTGTGCTAAAGTCCAAATGGAGAGTAAGCTACCTGCTATTTCTGACACAAGTAGATTCCTATTGTATCAAACTAAGGTCGCTGTTTTACATACACCTTTTGAGCAGTCCTTTCAAATTCCTGGACATTAAGAGACTTAAACATGCATAATTGCAAATGACCCATTGCTAAATGTATTGAAATGAAATAACATTAGATAGTCGTGCCATAAAAATATAGCAGGATTTTTTTTGCTATTAGTAATTCAAAACTAAATTCTTTTGGAAAATCCTGATGGCTTTAATTCCTGTTTTATTGTAATTATTAACAATTTTTGTAATTTCTTCAAGGACATTTTTATTGTAACTTGTCTTTGTCCAGTTTGAAAAAACATTCTGTGCAAAAAAGAAATTCCTCAGTTTTGGAAGCACGGTGCAGGAAGAAGAACCTTTGTACTTATAGCATAATTTGTTTTCCCCAAGGAGTACTACAAATTTTATTGACGTTGTTCTAAAATTTAAAATTTTTCCAAGGCATGACATGCAGCAGAGGGTTTCTTTTCCATCTCTGTATATACTTGTGTCTGAAATACTTAAGCGTTGCTCAGAAAGGGAGCAGGATATTTTTGTATGTTTTATCACAGAAACATTAAAATTTGTTTTCTGCTGAAAGTGTCAGCATCACAATGTTGGATCTATTGCTTGATGGGTATTAGGTTCACTGACATTAATTCTTGTTCCTCAAGTCTCCTGCACAAAATTGCCATCTGCATAGTCCCTGGTGTAATGATTTCCTGCTGAACTGCTCTTTCTGACACTCCTTTATGTCAGGTAGGTTTATACAGTCGTCTCCTCAGTAATCTGTTCCTACGCAGACAGCAATAGTGAATCAACTCATTTACTTCAGTTGGAATTACAGGCCGTATTGCTGGCAATCAAACACCTACAACACTGAAGAAAGATATCAAAGGCACCTGTTTGCCTGCAACATTGGTTAGGTTGCATTGATTGGTTTGAGCCTTTAGCCTTTCTGTCCCCACTCTCTGGAACTTAATCCCAGAGTCCCTTTGCCTTGCCCCATTCAAGGTCAGTCGCAAGAGAACAAGCCAAGTGCTCTCTCTAGGAGTCTTCATGCATTCTTACAAGCAAAATTTGCCCAAATATCAGGTTACTTTATTGATTGGGATATGCAAAGACATTGCTTTAAAAGTACCCCACATGAGATATCTTTAATATGTAAGATGGATTAGATGAAAGTATTAGGTCTTCCTCAAACATTTCACATAATGTAGTGCAGTACTTGATGAGATAGTGGGAAGGATTCAAAAGTGAAACCAGTATGTCTATCTTAGTATGGGGAATCTTGTGTGCCAAAGATTTATGGTATACAGTTGAGTACCTTTGCTAAGTAAATGCTGGCATATGATTTCAATGCTAAACTTTAACTGTTAGGATAATTTCACATAGGTGGGAGGGGGATTGCAGGGGGGTAACAAGGGTTTGTATGGTTGTTTAAACTGAATGATTTTAAGTCTGTATGCAGGACGTCGAGAGTTGTCATTTAATAAAATGTGCATATCTTTTCCAAAACATTTGTCTATGCCTACTCATCTATATAATCAAGCCTGTTAGCACAGCTCAACGCTTAATTGTCTGGAAGTTCAATTCACAACAGCATTCCCTCTTTGCAAGGAGTGGGATATTCTGCAAAGATTGAATGGTATCTTATCAAATGTATAGTTGTCAAGATTTCAAATTATTTAATGCATTCTAAGTGTGGTCAGATTTATGTCAGTTTGTTAGAGCTATTTGAAAATCTTATGTCTCATTGAGTCAGCTGAACTAATATTATTTGTGATTGTTTGACATGATACAAAAAATAAGATTTCCTAAAATTGTGACCAGGTGCAGTAAATCATGAATGTATAGTAATTCTATCACAACAATTTGCAGAAGGGCGTAATAAGCATAGTCTGTATGTTTTAATCTAAAATAGTATTTGTACCTTTTAACTCCATTAGCTGAAGTTTGCCAGTGTGTTTTTGGTGGGTGTGATATAACTAGCTGTGTAAGATCTTTGATTGAGAAATGTATTTGTGCAGTTCTGCTTCAAATGAGTTGCTGGGTTGTGTCTGTCTGTCTATCTAACGCATTAGTTTTCAAAACGCACACTTTTCAGGAACACTCAGGAAAATGTCGACAACAGTGTACTAGTAGTGTAAAGGGTTTATTTGACCATATGCCGTTAACAAACCTGAATTCTAATTTAATAGTTGCCTTTTATAAAACAGTTCTAATATTTCCGACAAGCATGAATTAACTAAGGTATGTGAGCAGAACATGCCAACATTAGTCATTGGTCAAAGGACATGATTGATTTGATAATTTGTGATTTTTTAATTCATTTCTACATTGATTAAATATTTATAATTTATGGTCATTTTGGCCCTGGAATATTGCTAAAATTTGTTGAATCACAGTGTGCACTTTGTTATAAATATCCCAGTTTACTTGCCAGTGGACAAAGGACCTAATCTTGGCATGTTCTCTTCAACACATACACACTTATGTGTACAAATGATATAAAGCAAATGATTTTAAGACTAGGTTTGCTGTGAAATGGTAGTAAGCGGGAATTAATTTGGTAATGTTGAGCCAAACCTTGGTCACTGTCATTTTAGTTAAATATAAAAACAAAACTATAAGTTAAAATAACATTCAAATTGTATAGCACAGGCTGTTGCAATTTTTTTTAAACAATATGTACAATATTACCCAGAGGCTATAGAGTGAATCAAGAACTGTAAAAAACCATAAAAACTGCACTGATTTCTTAGCAAAATATCTGTACATTTAGAACAGCTTTATCTAAATATAACTACACATTGTCCAAAAAAAAAAACACCAGTCACAAGTGGGTCACGTGAGCCAAATGCAAACAGGAAACAGAAGTGGTTAAATACTATACAATAAACTTTACAATCAATGTGGCGAGGCAATGCAACCAAAGAGATTAAAATATAAGCCAACAGGGCACATTTTGCAGAGAAATACATGAATTCCATTTCTACTTCAACCTTGGAAAGTTGTTAAAAACTTAATATACAGTTTAACGCCTTGTGTTCAATAACGTTTGTCTATTTTGGTCTTTAGACCCTTAATAATACTGTTTAGTAAGGAGGGGTTAATACCTTAGTACTCGGTCATATCTGTAGGATTACCCCCCCCGCCCTCCCACTGTCTGTATTTTTGTAACGTTTTCTTCCTTTTTTTTTGTCCTCACAATACACTCACAGTTCTGCTTATTCCATTCCTTTTTAACGTGACAGACATAAACATGATATCATTGTATCTGTTGAATCTAGGAATTTGGTCGTATGTTCTGTGAATCGAGCATTACTTCTATTCAAATCATCAATCCCACACAATTCTTTTGAAAAACTAATACCCATGTGGTGTGTACCTTAGCAGGACAGTGCCAACGCAAACAATTTATGTGCAGTGCCAGCACAATCTGTAGTCTTGAGCTGAACAGCATTAACTACATATATTGGTCCATGGCAGACTAGTCCTCATCTATACTAACCTGCAGGCAACTCTGAACCAGTTTTATTTGACTTGACTTCACAATACCACATTTCATGTCCATAAATGTAAAAAGTTTAGAATTTTATAAAGATATATTGAAATTTTAGTTTACAACCTTGTTAAAATTCATTCATTATAACAAAACTGATCAGGTGTTATATTACCAGAGTTACACCAAGCAGCAGTATTTTTTACTGTCGATTAAGAGAAAGTTGTACATTGAGGCACTTGTTAGTTCAGTTTTGAATAGATATGCAGCTGCCCAGATTGCCCGTACTTCCTCCTCTTGCCTTCACATCCTACAGCTTTCCACTCTGCATAAGCTGGTGGTTACGTGGTAGCAAACACACGCTTCACGCAGACACATCATTCAAACACACACTCGTACTCTCAACACTTTCCTTTTCCATCACATTGTCAGTTCAGTGCTATTCACTGAGCGCAAGTTTTGATCATCAAAACGCCGTCTCACACTTCTTCTCACCGCATCTGCTCGCCTGTACGGTTGGTTCCTAAGATCTGTGTGGAAATGAGGAAGTCGAGTTATGATCCAGTATTAAGTAGATTTATGAAAAGCAGATGGTTTCAAAGGCGACCAAAGACAATCTTGCAAAGCAGCTCCAGCAGTGTTTACCAAATTCCAGAAAGTATTCAAGGTGCATGTACGAATGTTGCCGTGTCAAAAATACTGACCTCTCTGCAAAATTCAGCAACTAGCTTCATCTCTGCCCTCTGCTTAGGTTTCTAAACTTTTTGCCCTCTGCTTAGTGTTTCTAAACTTTTTATTCAAAAAAAAAAGACTAAGTTCAGTCTGATTTTTTTAAAAAGGAGATCAGCCAAAATCATAAAATGGGAAATTTCTATGTTCATTCACAAACGCAAAAAGTTCCTTAGGTTAACGCTGTGTTTTGCTGTAGCGAAGAGAAATCTAGTTGATACCCCCAAGTCCCATTTCCTTGCAAGGAGAGGTGGAAACTGGTCGACACCAAGATGGCTGATGGATGGCCAAAAATAGTTCCCATTTTGGATTGTTTGGCACCTATTCCTCCACCTAAGTCCTCCAATATGCATTGGTTTAAACAAAGCACTAACCTAATCAATTGGGACACAAACACAAGATCAGGAGCTGTCAGAATTGACAGGTGGTAAAATCTTTTGGAAAACTAAATAAGTATCAATCATGGTGGTTGCACTATTGTTGGGAGGGACTGAATGCATCCTGCAAAGGCTGGCAGCCACAACGTCTCCAATGGGCTGGAGTGTGTTGCAAGCGAGGCATGACTGTACCTCCGCTCATTGTATTTCTGCACCAATAGAAAGATTCTCTGTGAAAGACTATCCAGGAGGGCCACTGTTCCATCTGGACCCAAACCCCATCTGCCTGACTGTTGAGCAGCACCAACAAACACCTGCCTCTCTTTCTCGTTGCAATCATTTCTTCTCACCGAGCTCACGGTGATGATAGAAAAGGTTGAATAGCTGCTATTTAAGCAGCTCAGTGGACTCGGTCACATGATTTTGCTCTGACATTTTGCTGCATGTTTAAATACAAATGCATACTGAAAACCTTTTGGGAAAGAGTAAAATTCCCCACAACTCCTACCTGCCTTTTCTCTTTATTCCCTTAAATAGCTGGCTATTTTACTTTATAACTATTTTACTTTGCGGCTTATGCTTGTGATTCATTAAGGCAGTGACAGTATTTCAGCAGGAGATCAGCCTCTTATTGTTCATGTATAAAAGGAACCTTTGTTCCAGTCATCAATTAAACCTGTTCTTTTGGCATCAGATCCAAATGGTCCAAAGTCAGTTTGAATTCTCGGGATTATGAAAAATTCCCATAACAGCTTCTCACTAAGCTTTGGTGTCTTGGGACGTCCTCCCAACGTGAAGGGCGCTCTATAAATGCAATTTGTTGTTGTAAGAGCCATACAGCAACTACTCCAAATATCAAACTTGCAAATTCTAATCATCAATTTCCTATTTGCACAAATATTTAAGTGACTGAATTGTTCCCCAGCCCAATCTTCAATTAAGTTTGTAAAATTCTTAGCCTTGTTTTCATACAAAAATATTTTTTTCAGGTGTGCATAGACCAGATGTTCCTACAGATCATACAGTAAATTTCTTTCCTTTCACCCTTCAAGACGAGTGATCATAGATGGAACTCAATTTGCAATTAAATAATTCAGATTTATCATCATTTAATTATGGCTCAGAGCTCCCCTTCATTAATTAAATTAACAAGACAGGAGGTAGCTGGACCTGAAGTCAACTTTAAACTCAAATGTATTAAAGACTGAATACAGACAGATCAGTGGAACAGCAACCACACCAAAATGATTACTTGCTACACACTACAAATAAATACGAAATTCCTCACAGCAATTACGAATTTCCTCACACAAATACTAACCTCCTCGGACCAAATATTAAATTGTTTGATTTAAAAAATCCTCTGGACTGGGCCAATCTATCCTATGAACTCAACTGAGTTTACTACTGAGAAAAAATTAAAAGTGCCCAATGTTTCGTTCTCCATTGTGGACTTACCAGCCTTGGAGACAAATCTTTACAAATAGATGTGCCTGAAGAAGCAATATAGAAATGAGACAAGCCTGCCAGCATTTTAGGAGTACGATTTGAAATCGATTCCAAAGTATACAGTGCACATATAGATTTTTCTTAAACGTCCAAAGAGAGTAAATAATCGCAATCAACCACCAGAAGCAAATTTGTGTTTCTACAGCACAGTAAACTCATGTCTGAATGATACTTTAAACAGGATGCGCATCAAAGTGGCGACCGTTTATTAATTTTATTAATATGATTGTGACTCCACGATCTTTTTAAACGAAAAAAAAATCACCTGTCCAGTAAAGTATCATTAGCTCTTTCGGTAAATATATATTGATAAAGCACACTTGTTTCTGCTTTATCGTATGCATATTTTACATGTGCTTGCCATAATATATATGTGTGCATATATATATATACAGCTGTAGCAAGTAAAAAACAGTGCTTGCCAGCTCTGTGCATCCTCCACCACGGTTGTGCAAGAAACATTCCTTACCCTCGAGGGACAATTTGGAAATTTAGTGATATTATTCTTCTTTAGAGCTAAACAGNAAAAACACAAAAGGATGGTTAACTTTTTTTCAAGGGGAAGAGGAAATAAATAACACCCATCGCAGTGTTCCAGATACCCATTTTGCAGGTTAGCCATCACAGCAGATCAGCCACCAAAGGAGAGGTTAAAACAAGTTTGTGAGCTGTTGCAGAGACAGCAGAAGCGGTACAGAGAAGAGGCAGGTTTCACGCTCGAGATTCAGATTGTTGAAACAAATTCCCAAGCTGCTTTGAAGATTGGCTTCAGCAAGACATGACGCAACACAGAGCACTGTGCAACAAGAGTTAAAACACAAATCATTGGAATTTCAAAGTTGATAAAAAAAAGAAGTCAAGTATTCCTCCATATTACAGTACAGGATTAACAGATCACAAGAGTGTTTGCAAGATTGTCAAAATTGGTCTTTCAAAATAATCAATAGTTAGAACGGGTCACAAGTTGAGAGGCGCATGCTTGGTTAAGATGAAACGTTTTAGTAATGAAAGATCGTGAAACAGTGAAAGTGAATTTCATTCCTGATACGTATACCGACATATACAAGTCACAGAAGTACAGTACACCAGGGAATTCTACTACTGTGGTTAACATCTCACTAAAAAAAACATTCAGAATCAGAAAGTCCAGCAAGCAAGCAAGCAAGCAAGCAAAGTGCCTGAAACTCCCAGTAGTTCCATGCATTGTTATAAATGTATATAAAACCCCAATGAATATTATGCTCATGCGAGATCATGTTGACACTATTTTTATTCACCATACCAAACATTTCAGGATCGTGTGATAATAGTCGAGACTTCTTGGTTCATGATATGAGTGAGTAGCCCAAGCAATAGTGCAGCAATGAATTAAGTAATGTATGGTAACAGCAGCCAGGTATATCAATACCAAACAGCTTTTCAAGCAGCCAAAATGCACAGGTAAACCCTCAATGACTTCAAAAACATGCAGAGGAGATGGAAAAAATCTGTGAAAATAATTGACAAATGGCCCCACACACACACAACTATCTTAGTTCTTTTCAATACATCACATTTAACGTGATCGTAAAATGGAGTAGATACTTTTGAAAAAGGAGAGCAACCTTTAAATAAGCGCTTCAGTTGTTTAAATGTATTGTTTTAGTAATGGGGTTCCTCAGAGTGAGCCGATTCACAGAAGAATCGAGAGCCACGTTTAGCTGTTCGGGCTGTAAAGGGCACGGTCTTCAGCACTGCGTAGAGAATAACAGCCAGAGAAGACAAAGGGGAAACAGTAAGCAGCAAAGGGATTGTTATTATAGTACAATTAGTGCATTTCGGAGTTAATTCAGAGCTACTTCAGACAAAAAAAACAGATCGAAGACACATTATGATAAATTGAATAAACAATTACTGTGTAAATATGTACTGTATTAGACTGCAAATCTTTTACAGTGGCAACAATTATGTTAGCGCACACTTAAAGAGAGTTAATTGCTAAACATACTTTTACGAATCATGCATTTATTACGATTAAGAGTGATTCAAGGACATCTTTCTCTACAAAACATTGGTGTAGTGGTGTTAGTTCAAGACACTAAGAGGCTGATTAAAACTTGATGAAAACGATGAATATTAAGCAGGTTGTTCGAACGGCAATCTGAAGACCCAAGTTTTTTTAAAAAGATAAATCGCATTCGTAAATTGTTTTCTTGTCTGTACAGATCACATCAAATGCAGTCACTTTGACATAGCCACAAGCAGGGCCAGATCAAAGTGAGGAGAAGATGAGTTCAGTTTACAAGCAGTGTAACACTGTTAAAAGATGTCATTGGAATGATTGTGTGCGCATTTGATGGCAAAATTGTTTGGAAAGCACCCATCCAAACCTCGGGAAGAAAAATAAAGCGCTAAAACCGGTTCTGCTTTGGTTATTCGCACTCTTGGGGAAACTGAGTGCTATCTCACATGTAAATCAACTTCACTGAAATGACACTCTCGCTGGCATTGTGGTGAGGTCCAGGTTTTATCTGTGTTGACCTGAGATTTCAATCTTACCTGTATCTCTGGGCTACAGGAGCAAAGAGGGGCAGCAACTCTCTCTCTCAAGCCCCAGGGAAACACCTCACTCACTCACTCACTCACTCGCACAAAGAAGAAAACACAATAACTATCTTAAAAAATAAGGTCTACTTGCATTCTTAGCATGTGTTGAGGCTGGAATGTGCTTGCTTTGGTGAAGTGGGGCAGGAGGAAGGTTGGAGATTTCAGTGAACTTTAGTCTCACCTTGCGTGACCTATATGTTTCTCTTTACCTGTAATAATATCTTCAATGGCACCATCCTTCCCCTCGTACATCTGCCTGTGCTCTCTGACTTGTTTCCTCCTCAGTTCCGCAATCAACTCCTGCTGTTGTCTCTTGGTTTTATGAGACGGGGACTAAAATACAATTAAAAACAATAAAAAGCATTAGCGATTTAACGTTCAATACACACCAAATAAAACATTGAGCACATCTGTACTTATTCCTCACAAGATTAATGCATTCAACTAATTCAACACAATATACAGGGAATAAAATGGGGTTTATTACCTCCGCTAGCTTTCAGAATGTATTTTTCAATGGACTGTTTTCCACACAGTGCTAACATTTGGGCTCATTTTGTTTTTACAGAAAATGTGTAAACGGAAACAAAAAAAAGTATTTGACTTCAGCTATTTTATACCAGTTACGCCCTGAATCTCTGTCATATGTGGTTGTCTGCTATCAACATACCTTCTTGTCCCCCTGATCCATCATGGCTTCTTGTTCAAGGAGTTTTTCCATCATTGCTTGCTCCTGCTTCTTACGCATCTCATTGTCCTGTTCTGCTTGCTATTGAAAAATAAAGACATTTGTTAAAAAAAGATAAATCCTTTTTCTTTTCTCTCTCCCACTGTGAGTGGGGAGTAAGCTCTGGTTAAGTGTACAACTGATTCACTGAATATCATTCCAGCAACTTCCAATGCTGCTCTAAAGCCAGGGGACTCTGATGTGTTTCTGAGTTGCATCTCATGCAGATGTCTCTTCTTCCTGTTGGCTTAGTATTTCTTCCTGTGCATCAGCAACTCACTGCTCGAGGAGCTAAACATTTCAGCTAAGGATGAAACAAAAATGTTCCACCTCCTGGTGCAATATCATTGAGATGTCTCGACGTGATAAGGTGCTATGCAAGAATTATTATTATTATTATATCAATCACCGTGAGAAACCAAATTTCAATTTGATTTTATTTCAAGCCACGAGACCTGGATACGAACAGTATTAATTTATGTCGGTTTTGATAAAAATAGCACTACAAAGATTGAAAGTGTGCCACATGTTAAATTTGCCTTTTCAAGTCAAATCTATTTGTAAATTTTAAAAAGTATGGGTCCACCAGATATCTTCCACCTGTAAAAGAAATCTAATTACATCAAAACATTTTGTGGATTAGCCAAATTGGACTTATGCAGATCGATAGTAAGGCAATGATATGAGAAAACTGGTGCATTGCATTAGGTAGCAATTGCAGGAGATGTCAATCAACTAATACACAGTAAAGATCAATCAGTGACTCACGCACGTAATCTACTTAAATCCAACGCAACAGGACAAGCTCTTACCTTGTACGACTTCACAAATCGTACAATCACAGGGAAAAACACCGATGGAGGGGCTGTCTTGACATTCTCCCCGAAATATTTAACCACCTCATCAAAGGCATCCTGTGTAAAATGGTACAGTGAAAACAAAAGGCAAATACTATTAACAAATGGTTCAGTCAATCAAACCAGGAGAGAGAAAAAAACTGCGGGCACGATACAAAGCGCAAGGATTATTATTATTTTTGTACTGGACTAAAGCTCAAGCCCAAACAAATGAATCCTCATCCCTGAACTGTAATCCTCCTTACAAACACGGGGTGGCATCCTATGTAAATACATATGCAGACGTTTTTGCCTTCGGTCGCTTTATACAATCCAAAACTTTTACTCGATACAAATTCATCCTGAAAATGTCTGGCATCCTTCATACAGTGGATGCAGTTCCATGTCCGCATTCCAACTATAACATACTGTACGAGTAGAATGCAACTACCGTGATGTCACCCTTCCTCTATCCCTCCGCCTTGCCCCATCCTTACCCAACTTACGGTCGCGCCTAAAGACCTTCCTCTTCGACCGTGCCTACGGTCACCTCCCCCCTTCCCCCGGTGGCGTCCTCCGCCACTCTCAAGCGCACAATTGGGTATCCGTCTCGACAATGTTTTCAACTTTCTCGGGCCGATTTTCAACAAAATATGGCAAGTTCTGTCCCTGTGCTCAGCAAAATTCCATCCTCTGATCAGACCACATGCTATTGTCATTTCCCATTTGGATTAGATTTATTTTCTAAAATTAGCTTTTCTTCCTATTTAATACTTTAAATGTGGGTCAGGAAACTGTAAATTATATGCATGTAATTAGAGATTGAGCTGAACATAAGGACATTAATATTAAAGATTACAATATTTGAATTAAGGACTGCATGATTTTATTCCCGCGGGAAGAAAGAGCTGTTGAATAGTTATTTATTCGGTGCATTAGTTATTCCTTTTGATCCCAATGGGATGAGTTACAGACGCATTCAGTGAATAGCTATCATTAAAATACAAGTTTAAAAAATGAGTTTAAATATCCTAATTAATATTGATGGCAAATATGCATACATTTAGTGGGAGAAAAAAGTGCAAAATCAGAATAGAACGTGATACCTGTGATATTTTTGCATCGTCCTGTAGTTTTTTCAATTTTCCTTCATGAGCATTAATAAACTCTTTTAATATAACATTGTGCTCATGCATGGCATGTTCCCGCTTTGTCAGATCCATGCCTCTTTGTAACTCTTTGACATCCAGTAGGACATTATCCAGAGACACTAAAGCAAAATATCAAGAGCGCGATAAGATTAAAGCAACCGCATAGTACAGTAGTGCCTCAATGTCCTGCGTACATAATTATGTACAGTTGAATCCTGCTAAACAAGTCAACTATTTGCCAAGTGATATTATGCTTAGATAAGAAACTTCAGATAAAAATAGCCGAGGTTGAAATCTTTGTTCCTCAGCCCAGTTTTTTTTCATCCATCGTTCATCAAAGAAACAAAGCCAGTATCAAAAAGATTTTTCACCAAAATGAATCTACTTTACTCCGTACGTTAACTGTTTAAAAATGGTTAGCTGCAACATATTGGTCGTCTTGGTTCGATCAGCATTTGTTGTTTTTAACGTTTCAACTTGTAAAGGTCAGGTGCGGATCACAATTCTTTTTTCTTGGGATGAATGGGAAGTGGTTTAGTTATAATCCTTGCATCTTGAATACAGAGCCTTATCACGTCGTCGAGACGTCGCATAGCGCTTCATAGCATATACCGTAAAGTGAATTGATGGCATATTTTGTGGGCGAAATAGTTTTGTGGTTAACTACAACCAAATCACTTCCCGTTGTTCGCAAACTACGAGTTGCAAATAACGCATCAATTCAGTCTGCAAAATATCACGTAGTATATCTTCTCAAAAGGATATAATGTGCCATATTGAAAATATCGATGGACTGAATTGCTGAGCTATTTTCTGGTTTGCAAATAATAATTTGTGTGATTCAAAAGGCATCAAACATCCAAAGTAAAACCCAGCATTTGGCTCCACTGGGCTTTATGGATTCACAATAGACCCCCAGGTACTTGCAAATCACGTATATTGATCGCAAACTTGATGTTTCAATTACGCCATCAAATCTGATTTGCGACGATCACAAATTAGCCCCATAACGTGTTACACTGGTCTCTCAGATAGGGATAATGAAAGAGAACAAATAAATAATTTTAAAAAACCTAAGCGATAGTTTCTGAAGAAAACTGCCCTTATACCCACCAGCTGCTGCTTTCTCCACATAGTGGAGCTCATTGTAGAATAAGGCGACTTCGAGATACTTTTCTTTGATGACATTTGCGATGTAATGTAACAAGGTTTGCTTGCGATCAGTTGACTTAGTATCTAAAAGCTGTCAAAAGCAGAGGGGAAAAAAAAATGCATTTAGATGGGCTCATTGATTTAACCCCTGTACAACTCAATTTAGAATTGCATATTCATATGGAAATTGTACATCGATCGTAGCGAGAATGTGGATCTCTTACCAGATCTAAACTCTGTAACTTGAAACCATACACAGCTCCTCTCTTACTGCTGTTCATGTAGTTGCCGAGGGCTAGGATTACCTAGAGAAACAGCACAAAGATTTAAATTTAATAACCATTGACATGAGAAGAATTGGAAGCTATCATTTACTGTAATGTTTTGTTGAAGTGACATTGTATATGTGTAAGGGCGTATATTCAATTAGCCTATGAAATGACATTGTCATCCATTCCAACCTTTTTGTCTTGGGCTGCGGTCAAAGACCCCAGTTAACCAATATTTTTTTCCCATTATTAAAGATCTGAGAATGCGATCAACTCTCTAAACAGCATTTGCGTCAGTGAGAACGTTTAAAACCAGTTCTAGTTTAAACATTAGCTTGGAATCGTCAGCAGTGAAACCATAATCATATTTCAACCCTTGCATTGATTTGATTTGAAAACAACACCATCCCAACAGCTTGGAGCAAAATCATATCAATGCCCTTGAAAGCAGAATCAAAATACAGTTTGGACTTTGAATATTCACACTGGACAGACACTTAGGCTTTAGTATTCAAAGATGAATCCTATAACACGACATGGCCATTCAAGCATTCAAATCTCCTTTAAATATTACCAGCAGCATAATGTTGGAACACTAGACATTAATAACTGTTAAAGACATTACGCCATCACTAATGGAAAATAATGCTCTTCTCAGTGAATGTGTACATAATTTCCAGCACTCTTTAAAGTTGGGAATGTCTCTCTGATGACATCCACATTCATAGTTCGATAGCAATACTAATTTCCTTATTAAAAAAAATCCTGTGACATGATGCTGCACATTAGACCTGACTCTTCACGAACAATTATGAACTCAATTATTTATAGGAACATTTTGAAAGATAAATTAGCAAGCTATCCATTTCGTTTGAGGGAGCATTTCTTTATACGATCAGAACTGATTGTGTGTTACTCACCTCTAGTATTTTCTTTAGTTTTTGAGATGATTTTATTGATACGGATGCCGCTATTATGGCGTGGAGTTGCTAAAGAGAAAATGGGAGTTAATGTTAATGGAGGTAATGTTACTTTGTTAAGAAAATGTTGGGTCCATAACCCAAATCTTGATGCTAAGCAAAGCCATGTTAAACCAAAACGCATTGTAACGGAGTTCAGTTGTAGTTCTGGATTTCAAGTCATGTTCTTTAAAGACTACCATATGCCCACAGTGACGATTCAATCTGAAATCCGACAAGAGAAGGAATCGATCTGTGTTCAGAGATCGTCTGAAAGCAATCCTAAATTATATTTCCATTATAGAGCAGTCTGCTCGGAAACCACAGTATTTACAGAGCATAAGAACATAAGATTTTGCTAGGCAAAAAAAAGACCAAGGTCCATCCAGTTCACCTTCCACCATCCCGACCACCGCATGTCATGTCCCAAACTATACACTGTATCTCAAGATATTATTTCCCAACAGAAATCTTTCTCATTTATTCTTGAAAGAATCAACACGTTCTGCTTCCACCGCCTGTCTCCCTAGGGAGCCTGTTCCATACGTTCACTACTCGCTCACTGAACTATTCTTTCCGCATTCAGTCGTTCTGACTTTAACCCCCTTCAATCGCAGCCCATTTGGGAGAAGAGGGGGTTTGGAGACACTCAAGAGCATCGAGAGAATTTAACTGATTAAAATTCTTACAAGTGTCCCGTTTACAAGGGACATTGTATATGGGGGCGATATGATTACACTTTTTAACAAGATTTTTTAACAATCAATTCTGGACTGTACTAGAAGCTGGTACTTACTGGGGTTAACATCTGAACGCTCTCCGTGAAGTTCCCAATGAATGCCATGATGGTCATCCTCTGCATTAGTCTTTCAACCTTACAGAACTGCAGCATGAACCGGTCTTCATCTGTCAGGTTCTCCAGTGGCTTTCTGTCTCTTTCATACTGTTTCAGGATCTTCACTTCATTTTCCGTTGGCAGAAATCTCATCAAACACTCGACAAAGTCCACGGGTAACGTTTTCAGGTCAAACCTGTTTAAACCAAGTGGAATATTAGTTGTCGTCTGAATTAATGATATTACTCCCCGCATTTGATACAGCGACTTATCACGTCGTTGAGACGTCTCAAAGCGCTCTGCAGAATACACTGTAAAGTGAATTGACTGTCAGCCACACATATACTCCTTAACATTTCTTATGAGAAAGGGTGTAAACAGCACACATTCTCGTAAGATAATCCTTCATAAGAAAAGTTAAATATTAAAAGATTCAATGACTTACGTTTGGATGGCCTTGCATATTTCTTCTGAAGTCTTTCCTGCCTTTCGCAATGTGATGGCTAGATTCTTGGCTCTGTTGGGTTCCAACAATGTGACTTTGTTTGATCCTTTTTGGATCACTTTCTGACGACTAGAACTAATGTCAACAGCTGGACCTTGGGCTTTAGTCTTGAACATTTCTTCAAACTCATCCACATTTAATTCCTAAAAATCAGAATTTGAATAGACCTTTCATCCAAATGTACCTAACCCCAAAAATGCTATGAGGGTAATGCAATAGAGGGTATAGTTACTTTTACAAAAATATATTAAGTATAAATGCATTTTTATTAATTCCTCACTGATAATAATAATCCTTGCATTTGATATAACATCTTGTCACATCTTCGAGACGTCTCAAGCGCATCACAGAATATACTGTAAAGTGAATCGACTGTATATTTTGTGGGCGAAACGCGGCAGCCAATTGGGCACAGCAGCGTCCCACAAACAGTCGCGGATTGAGTGACCAACTTATTATTTTCACTTAGTTACTTATTTCGTCATTCATTCATCACTGACACCAAAAGGTTTTAAGGTTCAAGTATAAAACCCCCCCAAAAAAGTTTTTACCTCTAAGATGCCTTCATCATCAATGTCATTGAAGACGGTCCCATTGATCTGGTTGGGTTTCAAAGCCACCCAGTTGAAGACTGGCATACGGAATTTTGTCTTGATAGGCTTCTTGATCTTTACCGCTACACAAGCAGAATTTAATAATTAGCCCCGACTAACTCTAACACGCCCGACAAAACACAATGAATGCTACGCGGTGTTTAATTGCACTTTGATGTAAAACTGAGAAATCATTGCATATTCAAGGTGAGCTCTGAGATGAAACAGACTGTAGTTTACAGTAAACCGCACATAAGTCATAACATTTAATATGACTTATACAAAGTATGAGTTATGTCGAACTTGCATAGAATATCAAGTCTTGAACGGAACTTGGTCAGATGTACGACTTGGGCAATTATACGATTTATACAGATCAGACTGATGTGAGTTTTACTGTACCACTTACAGCATTAAAATTGCAATTTCTTCAACCGTGCTATTAAACATTAAACTGCTACAAATATTATAGGGGCATTTAAGGCACTTGAGCAAGTGATGTGACATCCGATCGTCATTTGTTCTTGTTACAGAATTAATTCTCATCACTTGTAATGGACTGTAGGCCTATGGAGCAACACTTAATTTGATGTAAGATTATTTCTCAGTCTCTGAGAATTTGAGTTTTAGCCCAGGCTAAAATAAATCTAACCCTAACAAACATGAGGCTGCTCGCATTGCTGGCCAGATTTATTAAATTCCTCCAGATTAGTGAAGTCTGCAAACCTATGGGAAAACTACAAATGGTAAAGGATGCAGAGTTAGTTGAAAAGACTCGAATTGACTGTGAACAGATGATGTATCGAATAATATTATTAATCAACAGTAAAACTTCACAGTTGAAAGAGCAACAATGCCACTTTATTAATATGCGACGTAAGCCTAACTAAAAATGGTCTTAGACTGTCATTACATTGCACATTGTGCACTGCGTCACATCATTTCATGGCTCAGAATAGAGGAATTCAAATGGAACACACATGCTTATTGCATCAAAGTATTTTAGAGAGAATACAGTATGCATTTGAATTCACAGCGTGCATTAAACAAAATTAATGAGAGAAGGAGTGCAGGATATCTAGTGACTGTATTTTTTAAGTGCAGGATAGATTTTTATGGCCCACAAAGGCGATTCAACAGAAATCCTTGGATTGATATGGTAATATAGATATATAGATTCTTGTGATCATAGGCCCATAGAGCACACCCGAGCTGATCGCTATCTTCCAAACGTGAATTGAGGCATATGCGCTCTTAAATCAACAAAACAAAGCACAGAGGAAGTAGTTTTTATGTCGGGGTTTCATTATTAAAGATCGTTAGACTGCTCATAGTTGAAGACTTTAATATGCGGTAGGTGTTCAAAACTTCCTCATCCCGCTGGGCTAATTCAGTCCAACTTAAATGTTCACTGAAAATTGAATATGTCGCCCGGAGATTATTATAAAATTCTACATTCACATTTATTTTGATTTACTTTTGATGCAAAAGAAAGTGCTCCCCCATGTTGAGACAAACTTTGGGGGGGGAGAGGGTGGGGGAGATGATTTAACAAACTGCACTGAATAAATACAGACAAATACATCTGACTGCTGGACCGAGACAGTCACGGTGATGCATATCAGCAAGAGAGTATAAGGAAACCTACAGAACAGCTTGATTGGCCCCTCTTTTTGGAAGCAGAAAGGGTAGACAAAGAAAGAAGAGTTAGTAGAAGTGTATTAATTAACTAACGTAGTGCACAGAGGATAGTAGAAATCATTCTGCCAATGGGCACTCGAATTCAGAATAAAGAAAGGTTTACCTTATTGCCCATTTTTTGACACTTCTAAACGAAACTTCTCAATCAAAATGAAACGCAGTGTCCTGCTCAAACAGCTTTACATTGACACAACACGTTACAAAAAAAAAATTCAAAATTAAATTTCTAAATAAAACGTCTAAGTGCTCTGGAAACCTTGGTCAGCATAGTGCTGAGCATTTGGTTGCTGGCTTTTGAATCACATTGGATTCTTAGCTCTTTGCCTCTTTGAGGATGGTAAACACAGGAGAGAAGGAGGTAAAGTGGATTACACTCCTTGGGGATTAAACTGACTCCACGGGCACACAGCTGGCAAAAGCCAGCGAGTGCCTGATCAGCCTGCCCAGCTCACCAGTGGGAGATGGTCCCAAGGTGTAGGATGGTCCGAGCTGAATCCCTTGACACCCTCACCTCGTTTGCATTATGGCAGCCAATTGGAGTTAAGGTACAGATCAGCCGTGATCTAATAGAATGGCGTAACAGGCTTGAGGTGCTGAATGGCCTACTCCTGTTTTCTTATGTAACATTACCCACTGCAATGACACACTTTATACAGTTCATAGCCAGTCTGGCCTGGCTAGTAGAAATTCCCATTTGCCTGACACTCTGAGCTACTCCAGGTTAACACGACTGAAAACAGAACGATATTTATAATTCCGTTCTAGCGCATCTACAGAGATCTCAGACCAAAACCAGTGTCGGGATCATTTCTTTCCCCTGATCACTAACAAACCACACACTTACCTGTTTGGAACATAAATGTCAACACATGCCATGAATGGTCGGTTACCTGCTAAGCCGGGGTTATAGATGACCGTAGGGAGGATGCTGCCAGGCAATGGCGGAGCGACTGGGGGTGGTGGGGGAGGGGGTGGGGGGGCAGGAGGAACGTCCGCAGCTGCGATTGGAGGGGGAGGGGGAGGAGGCGGAGCCTGTGGTGATGCTGAAACCGGTCCATTTGGCACTGACCAAAAAATAACAAATAAATCGGGGTTAACTTATTCAAATCAGGTTCACGGTCAAAACATCCGAAATAAACTGTTACAAATTACGGTCATTTTCAAACCTCTCTGTCAATTATAAAATAGTTTTAAAAAAAGAGGAAGGGGGGCATGGGCAAATCCCACCCGGAGCAGTCTACAAACAGCACTGTGTGTGTGTATTTGTCTGGGTGTATTTCTGTGTGTGTGTGTATGTATGTGTGCACGTGTTTCTCTGATATATCCTCCCGAATGTGCACACACTCAGCTTTCTGATAATTAACACTTTATCACAATACAAATTCACAACACGTTGCGTTGTAAAATTCACAATCCGGCCATGAGGCATTACTGTTCGCACAGTATTCCCTGTTGGATCGAAAGCCGTGTCCAGCCGCTGTGAGTTAATTAAAACATAAGAATTGCTGGACAAAGGAAGACCAAAGTCCATCCAGTTTGCCCTCCGCCATCCTGGCAGTCGCATGCACATGTCGTGTCCCGGACTGTAGGGTTGATTTCTTACCTGCACCGGCCAGAGGGGGAGGTGGGGGAGGAAGGCCTGATGTTGACACTCCCGCGACTTCCAGTAATGTTCCCGGAGAAGCGCTCAGTAACTGCTGCGTGCCCGGAGACACCACCGCAGCCCCCACCACAGGGAGGATAGAAATGTCCCCGTCTCCTTTCTTCTGAATTTTGATGGAACCTTGCTTCTCCAGCTCGTGAATTTTTTTCTCCAGGTGGGTGTGCCTCTGCAGTGCCTCCTCCTTCTCTTTGACCATTTTGCGCAGCGTGTGAACCTGGGTGCTTGTGTCTTTGTAAACTTCCTGATTTTTTTTTGTGTGTGTGTGTGTTGGGGTGGGGTGGGGGGGAAAAGAATGTAAAAACAAGTCTCAATCAAAATCCATCCTCAGTGCATATTTAGAACTAGAATTCTTTACCTAGACAGTATCTCGTCCACTTCCTATGTTATTTCTTAAAGGGCTGATATAGGGGATCTTGACAGCAAAGTGTGTACAGCCATGAATTCATGATCAGTTCAAAGATGGAAGCTACTAAATTAAGTGTTTCTGCAGTGACCAGCTTGGCCGGGTAAAGGTACATGCTTGGCCTTAAGTCACCTGCCTGACCCGCTGGTTACGAGGTTGGAACCTTGGTTACAGCTCACACTCACAAACCGGCCTTTACCGACTTACTCTGATAACATCCAAGTCTTTGTTCTTTTGCATGAGTTGCTTTTCCAGTTCCACGATTTTAGACATTGCTTCGTTTTCAGTATCTTGCAATTTTTCTGTCAACTGGAACCAGAAATATCATTTTGGAAAGGGTGCAAAAGCTATGCTTCTCAGTGCAGCTTTGCAGCATTCAAACAAAACTACCGCTCTGAATGTTCACAAACGGAGGAAAAGGCATATATTAATCCAATTGTGTGCAGCAGTGCCCGACAAACAGTTGCGGATTAAGTAACCAAATTAACTGGAGGCTCGCTGCTCAAGTGATTTGAACATTGCAGCTCTAGGTAAAAAAAAACACATCGAATGTTAATTACGTGTGAGATGTTCTCTTCCAGTTCCTCGACCCGCTCCAGTGCAGCATTCTTGGTCTCAGCGTCTTCCAGTAAACCTCCCACATCAAACACATTGTCTAAGTAGGCCTGAATCTGCACCTGCAGTTTGTCACTCTCTGTGTTTTTCAGTTTCTGAAAAGAAACAACAGTAGTTTCAACAGTGAGAAGTTAGAAAACAGTCACCTTTACATTTGAGGCGTGATATCTATATAAAAATCTACTCCAATAAGTGCACAGCGTATAGTAATAAGTCACCGGTAAAGTTTCCAGTCTTTCCCAGTTACTCTACTCCACATTCGGGTTACGTTACTACACACTTTGGAGTCCCCAAGCCTTGGCTCTTGCCAGCCTGTGCCTAATGCTTTCCGGAATTAGGTGAGGAAGGGAGAGAGCGCACTCCATTCCAACAATCTATCTCTGGGATTTCCAGGTGTAGGTGGAATTCTCAGTTTGGTTTGGATGCACAGTGATGGGTTTTCGCATGTGTCAGACGCCCGGCAGAGCAAACCAAAATTCAGAAAGATCTGAGAACCGTTTTTATTTCGATTGTCCCAAAGGAACAAATCCTACCCCAAAGAACAATTATAGAAACAAACATGAAAGTAATCTGGATGAAAACGTGAAAAAAGATGATGAGTAATATAAAACTAGGATGCGTAATTATTAGGTTTTTTTAATGTAAAAAAAAGAACTCACATCCAGGTATTCGTCCAGTCCCAATTTGGTGAACTCGTATTGCAGATGCACTCGGAAATTCATGTCCTCTACAGAATGGACCACAATGTTAATAAACTGCATACAGGCCACCTGAAAAGAAAGACAAAGCAAGTTATTCTAAGAGACAGTTTGAAACATGGAGAAAATGCTGCTTATAGGACTGGTACATTAGCCACAATGTTCTTACACAGAACCAATGTCTCAGGCTTTGAAGTTGCTCTTAAGTTGATAAACATTAAACAACTATCTTTACAATTACTTAACTCCGCTGATGTGTTTGACCTGAACACATCGCCTGTTGCCTGGTAGTGGTGTTTTTTTGTTGTTTTAATAATAACAAACACAATAGCAAAGTAAATATTCAAGTGGGTTAATGGTGAACATTTTAACATTGTCGGAGGTGCCATCCTTCAGATGAGATTTTTGACCCAGGTCCTGTCTGCCTGCACCGGTGGACGTGAGAAGTTCCACGGCACTATTCGAAAAGAGAAGAGAGGTTTTCCCGGTGTCTGGGTCAACAATCCCCTAAATATAGTTGGTCACTCGCTCTACGACTGTTTGTGGGATACTGCTGTGACCAATTGGCTGCCACGTTTCGCCCACACAATCGACAGTCAAAGCCACTTTACAGTAAATCCTGTGAAGCACTTTGATGGCATGATATGTGCTCTATCAAATGCGAGGATTATTTGTTATTAAGGAGTGCCATGACTAATCACATTTTCGTAACTTCATTTTGTGATGAACGATTGACTTTACATAGAATTTCAGTACAGTCACTGATTCTACATTTGTACCTGGATCTGTTTGTATAATTTAGCCGTTTCGTCAAATTGTTTTCAATAACCTTGGGTACGAAGGTGACTCATAACTTTACTGCAACATTACTCTGATGAGAAATGAATTCATTGTACAAGATCAATCAATCAATCATTCATTATACCAAAACTTTTGACAGGTGCCTCAGAAATGATGTGCTACACTTCAAATCAGAGACAGACTTGGGATTTAATATCTTTGAAAAAGAACAGCAGTGCTCTCTAAGAAACTGACAGTTTAATAAGCAAAATATAAATTCATATTGAAAGATTCCTTGAACTGAGATGGTTGCCAATAAGAGATGACTTTTCGAGAGACCTGTCTCCCAATAATTCAAGGAGAAAATTTACAGTTCACTTTTCTCTATGAAGTTTGGTCGCTCAATCCACGACTGTTTGTGGGACGCTGCTGTGCGCAATCGGCTGCCGTGTTTCCCCCACAAACAATGCAGTCAATTCACTTTACAGTACATTCTGTGAAGCGCTTTGAGACGTCTCGAAGATGGGATACGGCGCTGTATCAACTGCAAGGATTATTATCACTTTCTAAGTTTTCGTGATGCAAATCAAAGCCAAACAATGCAAATTCCACATAGATTGCACTCTGTGGTAATGAATATCCTACAGTTGCTTTAGAGAGAGACTTGACCACTCTCTACAGCCAATAAGGGGTCTATTTGTACAAGTTGTGCATATGTATGTGTAATATTCACCATGTGTAAATGCAAGTCCTTTTCATTAGGTGTTAATTAAATAATTGAGGCTCTATAATTCCCACCGTATGTGCACACAGTATCTAATCCATACATTTACACAAAATGCATAACAGACCCTCTAACAACAACGATGTTCCACACAACTGTCATAAAGTTTGTCCATTAACAATCAAACTTCAGCTGTTACAGCGACTATTTCATTTGCATTTACTGAAGACATCGATAACAACAAGTGAAGCCAGCGAAGCCAGGGAGTGAGTCATTTCCTTTCAGTAAATAGCTGCCAAAGATATCACCATTAATTTAATCATAATTTATGAGATCTAGGCAAGCACCAAACAACCTAACCATTCAAACATCGGCATTATTCATTGCAATTGTTCAAAGAAGCGGTGGGATTAGAGCCCCAGTTGTGGTGTTTGTGCATTGATTTAACTTAATAGCAGGATACATAATCACGGATCTGAGGTGCCACAGGTTAATCAAAGGTTAATATTTGGTAGCGTTTTATCAGATTGCACACTGGTTTGGAACATGAGTCCCGGTACACTCCTTTATCGGCTGATTTGTTTCAATCCAAATGGTGGCCGTGGTCTGTGAAGCAGATCTAAACACCCCTCACGCCATTCAAAAGGTTGCTTTGTTCCCACGTTCATTTTTTAATTCGATTTTTCCAAACAACCCTCACCTGTCAATGAGTAATCCTACTGACTGGACTGATGGAGCCCACTACAAACAAATTCACTGCATCACGTTGTGTTTCAGTTAATATTAAACTGAAGCACAACCCACATAATTCACGGGTAAAGAAGTCAATTCATTATTTCACAGCATCTCGGCAATAAATCATCCACGATGATGATATTCATCAATAATAATAATGATAATCCTTGCATTTGAGATAGGGCCTCATCGCCTCCTTGAGACGTCTAAAAGCGCTTCACAGGATATTGTCAAGTGGATTGACTGTATATTTTGTGGACGAAAAGCATTCGTTTTAATTTCAGTTCATTTAAACTGCGACTGCAGAAGAGACAAAAACAAAATTCTTAGTTAAAACCGTTCTTACCATGAAATCTATGTTATTGTCTTCATTTCGGAAATGTTCCATCAGTTTTTCAAATCGTTGCTTCTCTCCGCACACCTGTACGATGGAATGGGAGAAGAAAATGTTCTCTGGCAGTTTGGGTTTATTAACACTAGAGAGAGCTAGAAGGTCAGAACATCACCTGGGCACCACTTTCATGTGTGGGGAGCAAGTTTGCAGAAGCACAGCATGCTAATCTGTTTCAACTCATGTATAATAATTGTACCGCAAACAGAAAATAACCAGTTAAACAGCACGTACGCTGTTGAGTGTGCAGTGTGTAATCCAGCCACTGATTCACGTTCAAGCTCATTGAAGTTTGACATTAAAATCTTTGTCCCCAGGTTGTTGGTCACCTTCGCTAGTGCATCCTCAACATGTGCTACACGCTCTTCGGAAAAGCGATCCGCCAATCGACTACCAACCAGTTTCCTACTTACTGCTAGACAAACAGAGGCGTGTGGAGCAAGGAAACTTGCCCAACGTTTCACCCTGCCCGGGAATCGAACCCAGGTCTCGCGCTTGCGGGGCTAGTGCTCTAACCACTGAGCTACAGGACTCCACAAAACGAACAATATTGACACATAATCATGATGGGATTAATTATTATTATTATTATTATCATTATTTACAGGGTTATGTATCATTCCCCCACATCAAGTGAATCATATGTTAATAGGCAATACCTCCATGTATAGTTACTGTATTGAATAATTATTTTGATCACTTTCTACACATCGGAGCTTGTCTGGTCAGTTATGTTTTCGTTCTGAGATGTGGAACAATTAGTTTTTTGTATGGATTTAAAATATCCCAGTTAGTTGGATTCCTTTATAGACACAACTGTTGCGTTAGCTGTTTGCAATCCAGTTTAGAGTCCCAGATTCAATCCCTGATCTATGAATGAGCTGGATGATATCAGACAAGAAGGTGGAGTTGGTGTCAAGGTTAGTCTGAATTTTGAGGCTGTGGAAACTTTGAGACGTCAGTGAGTTTGAGCTGTGAATGAGCAAACCAGGGACTGTGTAGAAATAATCTCAGAGAGTTAAGAAAGATCTCTCAGATTTACGAAAAAATCCCCTCCTTGACCTCCAACAAGAGCAAACTCCTTAGGTTTTGTTTCCCTTTGTATTTTCTTCAGTACATATACCCAACTCTGTGGTTAAGGCTTCGCTCTCAGTCACCACCAATACTGCCCCAAGCCAGCACAGAGGCACCAATCAGTGGCCATCTCTACAGGCTGCTTCCTCCTTTAGTGACCAGAGGATTTACCCAGGTCCCGCCCAGCAAAGTGGGCTGAGATAGGGCTCTAGTCAGGTTTGAAGCTGTAACCCTCTGCTATATGATGCTCCACCAGACATGTTTACACACAGTTTCAAATATAATTGGTAACACTACGCTGATTTGAAGTGGTAATATTTGTCTTTAAATTTAATTGTTAACGCAAAACTGCTATATTGTTCAATGAACAAAGAATCGAAAAGATGGATATCGCACACTAATACAGTGCACACATTTAGCTGAACAGCTGTTGCGGAAATGAGTGAAATGGATTTTAGGCTTATCTGTCTACAGCAGAATTAACAATGTATGTGAAGAAGAGCCTATTTAGGCAGAGTACAGTAGTTGGATTAGGCACATGATCCAGCAATAGCAATCGCCTCATTTGGGGGTTAAAATTAGCATTCCTGCCTGCTGTTACCAGAAACAATGGGCTATTGAACACGTCAATGTACTGTTTGACGACAATCGGGACTTAGGGCTGTGAGTTATATGCCTAATTACTCACAAGCGAATCGATTTCATCCTCCCAGTTTGCAAAGGCGTGCTCCGTTCGTTACAGAACTGAAGGATTTTAAACGGAGGATGGAACACAATTCTACTAAACACCACTGCAACTAAAGTATGTAGAAATGTCGGAAAATATGCAACCTTTCACCACCCCATTCTGGCAAGGCAATCCTGACTTTGTGTTTAAGCTGCAACCTCAGAACACTAACAGCGCAAAGGAAGATAAACTCCCAGTTAATAAAACCTACACTTTACAACTACAGAGAAAATCATGTCCCGTGGAATAGATCAGGACAGATGAAAAAAAGATTGTTACAAGGGAATTGGATAGGTACTTAAAAAGGAAGGGCTGTGGGGTAAGAGTGGGGGAGTGGGGCTAGTTGGTAGCTCTTACAAGGAGCCAGCACAAGCACGATGGGCCGAATGGCCTCCTTCTGTGCTGTAAAATTCCATTATTCTATAAGGCCTGCATGTAGATTGCAACATACATCACCCAAACACTAAGAATATACTTTTAGACTAAAGATTATTGTATTGGGACTCTGGCTGGTCACCTGGGCTGAACCGACTTCTCTTGCTCCCAACTGTTTCTGACAACTGTGAGAAACTCTTGCTCTAGTGGCTAAATGGATCACTGCCTTTAATCTTTAACTTTCATTTGGCTTTTTAGTCTAATTTCTTTGGCTCATTTTCCCTCCTATTTTTTTGCTTTAATCACATTTTCCTTCCTGTTATTTTCACCGATGTCGCTCATGGTTTCTCACCCTTGAATTCACTGCTGAATTCCTCTGTAAAACGTAGCCTCTGTAAAACGAGTGTTATCGGTTTCGGACCCACAGTGTGGTGTAGTGTCTCAGCGACAATAACAGCAACAACTTGCATTTATATAGTACCCCTCACGCAGGATAGAGTCTCATAGTGCTTTGGCAATGGCGGAGCACAACGACCACAACAAGATTACATTTGTATAGCGCCTTTCGCAACCCCGAGCCGGGGGGAGTGGGTGGGGAGGTAACTGTAGGCACGGTTGAAGAGAAAGGTCTTCGGGTACAAGACTGCTAACTACTCCTTATAAAGGGTCCGGCTGAAGATCGTGATGTATGGACCCAGACAACAAGATTAATTATAACATTATAACAGGGTTGTACATGTAATACATTCCACCTGCCACAAAATCTACCTGCTATTCCTTAGCCCACATCTCCTTGAATACGCCTTGTATTGTTCACTTGCCCATCCTGTCATTTATCAACTGTGTGACCAACAGGGGATCTCGGTGGAACTCCATCAATCATTATCCTCTCTCAGCCCAATAGATATTTTCTCCCATTTACCATCATGCTTTGTTTCCCATTGTAAAGTCCGTCATCAACACCATTAGGAATACGTTTACTTATTCTAAGTAGCGTCATTATGTCCTTTAAACACACTTTATTCTGCCCGTAAATTCCAGGGAGAAGCTAAAGGTTGAATGAAGGACGCCCAAGAGGAAGTACATCCGGTAAAGAGATCTGAAACTAGGTAAACAGATGAAATCATCCCTTATTGTGTCTTACACTTGACTAGGAAAAAAAAGGGGCATCTTACCTCCTTGAAATTATCAAAGGCTAATAAAATTATTTCATGGCCTCCTCTGACAAGACAAACAGCTGCTAGCAGTTCCAGGACCAGGGCCTTTGTCCTACAAAAAAGAGAACAAATAGGATTATTCATAGGACCACGATAAAGAATGATCGAGTTACACCATCCCTTAGTCCTGAAGGCAATGCAACAGAAGAAACCTTCATCTGTCATTGACTATAATGCATCTGTTTTTTTTCAGATTTGTTTTCGTACTTTTCATTGAAACAATACAATACCTTTTGTTCAAAAGAATGATCTTGTGTCGATTTTCATGACACAAGGCTGGAGTTGTTTTTTTTTAAACACTGTTATAAATTCTACGCAATATTTATGTGTTGCGGAAGTGTGAGTGAACGTCTATGNTTTTTTTACACAACTGAGCAAGAGGAATTGTTGCTGGAGCAATAATCGTTCAATCTATACTGTACATTTTGGAATACTTGTGATCGACAGGGTCATCTCACCTGGGATTTCGGTTGTTTAGACTCAATGCAATTTCATTAACCGCATGGGGGTGTGACATAACCATGTTAAATCCATACTGCAATTAAAGAAGAAATGAGAGATTACTGAGTCTGTAAACTAAACTCAGGTAAATCCTCTGACAGGTACCATCATAACAATCGCAATCATTTGCTGAAATATCACCAGTGTAAAACCTTCAGCTACAGAAATTATCAGGCTTTGATCAGGAAGGCAGAAATATCCTGGTATCCCACCCCATCATCTATTCCCTATTATCTCCTCCAATGGGGATTTCTGCCACATGACAACTAGAAACAAGATACAAGATGCTGGGACATTAGAGATGAACAAAGTCCTCCCATCAATCCCATCGATCAGTTCCAGCAACACTGAAGAGGAGATGATGAAGGTGCCTACACCCCCTTCCTCTTAATTGGAGTTGAGGTACAGATCAGCCAGGGTGGAACAGGCTCGAGGGGCTGAATGGCCTACTCCTATTACCATGTACCTATGTTCCCCAATAGAATGTGTAGCTTCGTGGAACATTTGGGCTAAGAGTTCATCTTAAATGTACCCTGTTGGTTTCCTTCCTGAGATGCAATACTGACAGTTAACGACATCTAGTGAATCAGATCCCATGATTGAACAGATTTCTTTAGAATGGGTTAACATATCAAGCTACTGAAGGAATATACAGTGTGATTTTTGGCAGGCAATGTTACGGCGTTGATCATGGAATACTTTATTTTTTGCACACAAAGTTATTCAGATCTCTTTCATTGAAAATAACCCCCCAAAAAACTCCAGTAAAACGTATGTCCTCACACACACACTGTGCGCAATCTGCTCACGCTGTACATGTTTTTTTGGGAAAGATGGAAAGCTTCCAGTGGTCATGCGCAACCCAAAAGCAACACACAGAGTTCTCAGAATTTCTCAGATTGGCCCAGATGGCAACCATATCCTCTCCTCAACATACAGCGAGTATCATGTTCAAATAGCTGCACAGTTACCATAGTCATCGTGACCTCATCCGTTTGTTGTTAGAGAGGGGACAGCAGTGGAAAACCAACAAACAATTCACATATATCTCAGGCAGTTCAATAGGAAAGCTCAATAATCAAGGGCACTAGATTTACTCTGTGCAACATTTCAGAGTGTCGAGCATTTGGTCAATTCTTAAAGAAAGCCTTGAGAAACTCAGGTGAAATTTCTCCCCATTAAATTGGTTGGGTGAAGCTGCAGCAAACAGTATTTGTCAGCTTGATACTGACAAGAGGACTTGTCCTGATTTAATCAGTGATCATTTCCTATATTGGGAACGCAAAAAAATTCAAAGAAAATTCAAGCATTGCTTGTCATCAATGAGAACTATAAATTATAGGATAACATTCAGACGTAGACAGCAATATGTTCCTTGTCGTTTGGGCGAGTTAGTGTTCCCAAAGGGCATTAGATTCTGTATTTTGAGGGATTCAGAGTTATTAAGAAGCTTCATTGTGTAATTAGAGGCAGAGTGACATTTTGAATCTTCTTATTTATAAGGAGTCTACACAAAACAAAGGATGATATGTCAGAAACAATAGAACGTTTGCATTTCATCACATACCTGGTAGTTCATGATCGCTCGTAAACACATGATGCAGACATGAACGTCATCCTTTTTACTCACTAATCTAGAATTCTTTAGTGTCCTTCTGCTTGGCAAAGTGTTAAATCTACAGGTGGATAAAACGAGAGGTACAAACAGTTTACTGCAAAAATCCATTACGAGAGAATGCTTGATTTTGTTTGTCTCCATTCTTTACAGGAACGAGATCAAGATGTAAATGAAGAAGAATTTCATGTTGAAATAAGAAGTACCAACAACGAAAACCTACTCTCCTATGATGAAACTCCTGTGAATGATCAGTAACTACTCTTAAATAATATCATTTATACAGAATTACTTATATTCATGTATTCAGGAGCTAAAGCGTGTAGCTGATGCACTGATGTTACATAGGGGATCCACTGCTAAACATGTCAACTTTTCATTTGTATCAAACTGACAGGTCTGTTCGGAGATACCACAAATGGGAATATCTGTAAAACTAACCGTTTAAACGTAAATTCCCTAGAGCCTCTTGTTGTAAGCGCTTGCCATTTGTGACATTTACCCCAACACTGAAATATCAAACTTATTCTTTAAGCATCTCAATGTCTACAATAGAATCTGAATAATTTCTCAGCATTGTCTTTCTTCCCCAAAGACACACTAATGTTCCGTTTCCTTACTTTATTGTAAATGGTGCTCCCGAGCCATTCATGAAAATACGAGTGCCAAGAATCAAGCATTCGGATGACGATTCCATTTAACTCCAAATTAAAACAAATATCGACTTTCTGCCTCACGCCAATCATTCAGAAGATCAATTTTTAACATGAGCATCTTAATGTTTAATGATCAGTGGCCAGGTACATTAAAATTCAATCTCTTTTTTAAAAATAAGGTTTCTGACTTGAAATCACGTACCCTTTTAATATCCAGCGTGTGTATGTACAGATGCGCACACAGAACATATGCACGTAAACACAGTACAGTATACAGTATATATGGATGTGTGCTCTCCTTTCTGTTGACACTTCACATCAAAAACACATTAAGTACAAGTTTATACTGTATAAACTTGAGGCCTGCTGAAGACACGTGGAAATTTGGTGATTAATCTGACCTATTCAGATGGATTTCCACGTTGATTGCATGCGAATTCCAGGCAGCATACGTTATATGTTGCAACCAGTAAAATAGTTAGTTGGCATAGATTAAAACAGCCTTTCTGTGATGTATTTCCTCAGATTTGCAACTGCTTTCCACCCCATTCATGCACGTCTCTGCATTTTCCCCATTTAAATAGACGTCTCAAATTCTACACTAAGTTTCTGTTTCCAAACCACTTGCAAGATATCACTTCAGATACTCAGTGACTTCAGCTTGACACTTTTTCAACAACTGATATAGCCTGTCGGTGGAACACAAGCTTTTTTTAACCATGATTTATACACATATAGAGATGCACAGCTCCTCTGATTGAACTTTATTGGGAGAGGTTTTTATTAAAAAGAAACACAAAGCCGACTGGCAGTAAATCACTGTGGTTTAACTAGGTTTTATAATAAAATGGTGTCAGCCATGCCAGAGACAGATAGCATAATTGCTAGAAAATTAACCTGAATGAACTCATCCTTCCACATGAATGCCTGGTTAAAACTTTATTGCCATCTACAATCTTCTGATTGATGAAACAGTCCCTGAAGTATCTCAATATGTTACAGTACCCCAGAAAGTCCCAGGACACTAATACCTTGTTACAACACCTTCTGTCTGCTTTCTTTTCCTTGGCTCCTAACACACTTGTGATCCAGAGATCCCAATGACAATGTATTGAGATATAAAAGCTTCTGGAGCTCAATGAGAGATAGCAGTGGGGTGCGTTAGAGAGAAGGAACAGAAAGCAGATACAGTGAAGGAGAATTGCTACAGGGTTTTTTTTAGGGCAGAAGTTGACTTTTGATTTTATTGTTTCCCTCAGAAACAAGCGGTGCTGACAGTCATATCTCACAGATAGCTACCGCACACTGATGACTACATACATCTTTCTGTGCTCGAGACAGTACTGAACAATTGGGGTACATAACACACATCAAGTTTTGTGGGTGACTTGACGCTGTTTGATCGAAACCATATGAGTACATGGCTGAACCAGTAATATAGCAGTTAACACGTTTGCATCACAATCTGGTTGTTTGAGGTTGACATCTCGAGTTCAATCAAACACTTAAGATATTCACCATCCTGCCTACTTCGCGCCTGATAAAACATTGAACATCATTGTCAGTACCACAAATTTGCCTGTGGCTACTGTCCTTGTGCCCTGTTTGTGCCTCTGCCAAACTAAGAGGGAAATGTGTGAAGTTCAAATCTGAAGACAGCTGGCATTAAATATCAGACAGAAACTGTAACGCACAAATAAGCCATTTAACTAGGTTTTAGTGAGGCCTTGGCATTTTGCTAGATAAGATCTGAATGTAAAATAGCACAGTCACTTGGCAGTGCAAATTGCCTGCTTGAAACAAGCTTAGATCAAATATACCAGCTGAACCAAGTGATCTGAAACCTGGACTGAAAGGCCCCCTGTTATTACAGCAACCAAACTGGAACACAGCACAGATTAAATCATTCTCCTGCCTTACAAGCAGATTGCTTTTCAATTAGGAAGCCGAAGGCAGAAAGGGTTAAAGGTAATCACTTTAATAACTTGCATCTGGAGGCACTAAAGTGGCTTAGTTCTTTATGCCCGCGGCACCCACTTTATGCAGGGCTTCTGACTGCTTCCCACTCCATTTTAATACCATCCAGAATGCGTTTCCGAGGATGGGTTTATTTTAACTTTAGACTGCCATTCAGTAAAGTTTACGGGTAAACACACAAGAGATGAATATTTATATATCAAAGGTATATTTTCCCCAGTCCAAAAATTCCCCTCCGCAAGTCACATTTATTTGCAACTCAGCTCCTGATTAAAGATGATAAACTTCAAAGTTCCAATCTCACAGTAATTACAATGGATCCTTTTCAAACGTTAATGCTTCACAAATGTGCTAAAACTCCAGCTGCAGAAAACATTAACTCTGGAAGCCGTATAAACAGGACTGTTGCTTCTATGTTGAATTTCAGGGGTTCATTGTTGAGAATGCTCATTTTCTTGAGGAAAAACCTGGGCTTAAACATCTGTGGGTGCGTATTAAGTATATTCTTAATTATTAATGATTTAACACTCAACCACGACTGTTTGTGGAACACTGCTGTGCGACATTGGCTGTCACCTTTCGCCCACAAAATATAGTCAATTCACTTTACAGTGTATTCTGTGAAGCGCTTTGAGACGTCTCAAAGACGTGAAAAGGCGCTATATCAAATGCAAGGATTATTATTATAAGTAGAGGTTTCAACACACAGGATGTGCAGTAATTTATCTACAAAGCAAATCAACGATATACCATAGACCAGAGGAACACTTTACGGTTTACAAGATCGACCATCAGTGCATCCTTTGTTTGAAGAGCACAATCATTACTTTTTAACTCACCTTAATTTGTGTGGCTGTTTATACAGCTGAATAAATCAACACTGGGCTCCAATTCACTAATGAACTGAAAAAATTGTGGGCATTCACCTTTTTCTATCAACCTTATAGGAACATAACTTCCGAATAAACCAGGGAATTAAGTGGCCTGTGTTTATTCCAACACAAGAAACCATGTTATGATTCCCCCTCCTTTTCCATTGTCATTGAGCCGATCAAAGTTTCCTACGATTGACCTACCGTATGGTTGAGTGCCTGGCCGACCGTGACAAGCTGTTGCCAACCGGTGATGGCAGATTACTGCCTCGATGTAAATCCTCAATGGACCTGCTCCAGGGTTTAGACTTGTCCAGTGCATTCTCCACGTTATTCTCCACACTCTCATAATCAAACCTGAAAGAGAACGGTCGCAAACTACAATAAGTATCCGACGCTATGTTAAAATGCATCCGTCAGTCAAGCCGTGAGATCTGAAACAACTGAGCAACAAAAAATCCCTTTAAATTTTTTTTAAAATTATAATCTGGTAACGCAGGGCAAAGTTCCAGCCAAGTTTCCTTACTTCGCACACCTCTGTTTGCTTAGTAGTAAGTAAGAAGCTGGTTGTTAGTCGAACGATGGATTGCTTTCTGGGGGAGTAATAATCCCTTTTAAAAAAAAAATAATAATTTGGTCATTTAATCCACGACTGTTTGTGGGACGCTGCTGTGTGCAATTGGCTGCCACGTTTCTCCCACAGAATACACAGTCAATCCACTTTACAGTATATTCTGCGAAGTGGTTGTAATTTGCAGCCCTAGTTTAGCAGTTTATGATATTTAAGAGAAAAACGAGTATATTTAAATAATATTAAACGTACATCAATCAATACAACAATCCGTCGTAGGCAGAGGTGACAATGTTATGCTGCATTTTCTCTCACCAATTTTGTGAGTGAATCTTAAATTATAGGTTGTGAAATGATTGATGCAAAGGGTTTCTGCTGAAGCAGTTAGAATTATGACATCCGAGTGTTACAGCTTAACTTCCTCTATAAATTTCACACCTCAATTGAGTCACAATTACATTTCTCTTTGAAGCCCACACGTGCAAAGCTAAATAAAAAGTGGGAATTCCTTGCTAAAGTTCATCCTTCTCAAGCTATGACTGGCCCTGTGTGTAGTGTCTCTTTCACAATACTTCCAGTGAATTGACAGTTATTAATGAATGCAGCATATATAAAATTGTTCTAAGAAATATAAAACTATTACTTGAGGCACAAATTTTTGAGTCGTCGGAAATTAACAGGTTACCAACCTCGGCCGGTATGGAAGAAAGGGAACGTTATAAAGTGTTTACCACTTTCTCAAAAACTGGCAAACAAACATTTTCAGCCATTAAGTCAGCTTTTAAACAGCCCATAAAAATAAATTGCTGGGATGGTGAACTCTCCACACACAGGAAGAAGAAAATATTAACCGAATCTCTTATTTTTACTGGGATTCCTTTCAATATCTGATTGAAAGCTTTTCCCAAGCGTGCAATGTGTTGCTCGCTGATCAGGAGGGTTACTTACGTCACTGCATACTGTGCAAATGAAAGGTAATCCACCAATATGTCGAGCCCTTTGTTCCCTTCATTCAAAAACTCCCTCACCCAGCTGCAAAGAAACAATTATACACCAAACAGCATATTAATATATCATTAATAGCTTTAGAAAATGAGTGAGAGACAAACTGCTGAATTGAATCGGATCAGAACAGCATATTTCGCTCACAAAATATACAATCACTACAGTTCACAGCGTATCCTGTGAAGCGCTTTGAGACGTCTCGAAGACGTGATAAGGCGCTATACAAATGCAAGGATTATTACTATCTTATTTCAGCCATGCAACCTTGGGAGTATTTAACTTTTATATCTTGTTTTCATTAGTTTGGTGAGTTATGGTGTCTGCAATGCATGACATTCCCAGTTCAGCCATTTGTAATCTAAAGGCACCACTTGCATCCCAATGTTTCAGTGATTAAGTTGTGTCCCAAAGTAATTGACTGACCAGTCTTGCTGGCCGCTTACTGAAATGTTGCCAAACATTCGTATCGAGGTAGTGTAAATCCGAAGCCGAGAGAGTCAGCTGTGCTGCCATCAACTCTACGGACTTTGAGAGATATTTTATGCTGCTGTATAATCGTGACATTGTCGCATGTGTTGTCATTTGGATAAGACGTTAAACCAAGCTGCCGTCCGTCTGAACAGCAGGGCATTAAAGATCCTGTGGTGCTATTCGAAAAGAGAAGGGAGAAGGGTTTCTCCCAGTTTCCCAAAAGGGGGATACTTTTAATTTAATCCTCCAGTTAAAATTGATCATTCCCAGAGGGAAGTTTGTGGGACATTGCTGTGCACAAAATTGCCTAACAGGATCACTTACAAATACACAGTCACTACACTTTACAGTGAATCTTATTAACTCCTCTGGCGTTGGCGTTAATCCTTGCAAATCCCCCAAGCCAGCATGACATCCATTCAGTTTGACCCAACTACCTATAAGTGAGTCCTAGATGAGAACCGCAAGGTTTCAGTGTAATTATCCTTTTTCCCCTGTCCTTATCTGGGTTTGCGTTCACATGTCCAGTGAATACAAACCTTAGCAAACACTAGAGAGTGGGTTCCCTTTTTAAGGCATTTACAGTTTGGCTCACACTTGCCTGAAGACAACTCTGAAGCGGATAGCCAAGAAGACGAGAGGTGAAGTGGCACTCAGATTTGCGACTCAGATTTGCTGATGCTTCGCTGATGTTCCCTTACGGGAGCGGTGACAGGAAGAGGATGAGTGAGTGACTGTGAGCACAGCACTTTCCAGCCACAACATGGCAAATACTGATGATTCAGCCCTCCAGCTTTTGTGATCAGCTTTATGAGCCAATGTCTTTTTTGCATCACGCCCGAGTGGTAGGTACAAGAGACCAGGGACAGGAAAAGCCTTGCAACTTCATACATTTTTAAACAATGACTCATCATTAATGTGAAGCCCTGAGGAATTTTCTCCAAGAGATACAGAAAGTGAAACATATTTTATACCTACAGATTGCCAATGGAAACCCCTCTATTACACTCACACAGTAATTACATCAATTAAAAAGAGCTCAGAAGAGAAATGACGTGAGGGACTACGAAGGGAACTTAGATGTGCAGCTGATAGGATAATATATATATATATATATATATAATGAATCCTACACATTCCGAAATGTTAAGAAAATAAATCTAGACCCATATGGAATTTCTCCAGCTTAAGGCCTGTCTGAACGAGAATAAGAAAAAAGAAAGAAGAAAATAACCTCTTCTGAGAATTATCTGCTTTCATTTCACCCTTCTTTAGGGTTTTTGTGAGTTATACACAAAGGTGCTCCTCGATTCATCAGCATGGCCGAGGGAAGATAAACTCGCTCCTCTTTATCCTCCTTCCCTGTATTTATATATATGCTCACTGTAAGGCTGAGATTGGAAACTCGTCACTAGTAAATGTGGACTTGTGCTTTATTCCTTTGTGATTCTCTGCTGACATATTCTCCACCGCATCACCCATAACTCTTACGCTCAAAGGGAACCATTTCTGATACAACATCTTTTCTTCACTTACACTCGTGAAAAGCAAAGGGGAAAATCTATCGTTACATTTCACAGACACTGATGCTTTTGCAAAATGTTTAAGCTTACCCAATATAATTTGTTCTAAGCGATATCTCCAGTTCTCTCAGTACTTGAGTTGATTCTTGCACTCTTCTTCTGAATTTCTGTCAAGTCAGAATATTTAATGACAAATAATTTTCAGCACAATGTGACATTCTGCCAGTACCAAAACAGCAATGACTGATAATTCCCATCTTTAATAAACCAAACATTTCTCAATATATCAGCCAAAATACAAATTTATATGAACACTTGGTTCCTAATTCTGCACAGAACACCAACGCAAGCTATCATATATCACTCATTATAAGTAGTCAGATGGATTATATTTATGACCAAATACATTTGGCTACTTCAAAATACATTGTAATCCTTACTGTCGAACTGTGAGTTCCCATAAAAAATCTGCAAATATTTTGTCTTTCAAAATATAATTTTTTCCACGCTTATTGATGATTGCAAAAGAGTAGGAATAGTCAGATATATGGGAACTAAAGGGCATTTCTTCATTTAACATGCTCTTAATATCTAAAAGAAATTACATTACATTACATGCAGAGATTCTTTCGAAGAGTTAAATGACCTCTTTGCATTGCACCACCAACACTGTATTTACCACTCATAGCTAGTTTTAACTACTAATATGAATATCATTATTGTTTATATGCAGCGCTTGATGACATCTTGGGGATTGATTTGAAATGTCCTATTTCAGGAAATAATGCACCTTAATGGGCATTCAGTATTTTCTGATTTTCTTGCTCAGTACTGCACCGTCACACACAGTATGAAGGGAACACCACGGGAAAAGCATGAAATATCGCTGAGGATAATCCTTACTCACAGGACTATAAATAGTATTTTGCAATTCCCTGCGAAGCATCCTTTACAGCTTATATGAAGAGTGTAATGATGAAACAGAGGATAGCTGTTTCAAGCAGACTGATCTTGTCAGCCACACCGCTTCTAATAAACACAATATATGGATTGTTTTCGCTGTACATTGCATTGCACGTGATGTTGTGCAAAGGTGCAATAAAATGTATTTTTCTGGTGATCCAATTTTCACCAACATAACGTAAGAATTTCCACAAAAGCTACAAAAGATGCCTTCTTTCAGCCTCTTATTATTGCTGTACCACAGCGTGAAATCAGATATAAATAGTCATCCACAATGGGATGTCTCAGCCCAGTTCAAAGGAAGAGAGCTACACTTTCTTGCATGGTGTTGCTCTTGCCTTGCCTGACTGGTTTACAAGCTAACGGAATGTGCCAGCCTCCACATTTAAACTAAGGCACTATTCTGAGACTGATTGAGCGAACACAAAGCCAGGATTGTTCAGGATGGGAGAGAAAAAAAGAAACTCGATGGGAATTTAATGCAGCTCGCTCATCATACTGTACCGTAAAGGCAGTACAGAGAGGATACAAGAACAGTTGTGTTGACCAATTGAAAATATTTTTAGAATACGATCACTAATACAGCAACATACCCTTTTTTTTATTTCATGATGTTGCGATCAGTTTAATTGCTAACGGAAAATAAGATTTGAAGTTTAATTTTTCAAATACCACATGATAGAAATCTAAAGTTAATGGTACTGACTGACCTTCCATATCTTAACAGGTTGCTTCATGTACTAAATTATACATAAATTAATTTGACCTAAAATTCATAGTGCAATACAGTGACGACTCAATAAAGATAGATGCATATTGCAGTAAAAGGATAGGCTTTAAATGAAGGGCTATTGTTAGACATTGTATGTGAGAAATTGGAGCCCAAACAATACTTAAGGATGTAAAAGCCCAGCAGAACAAGAGGATACAGCTTTAGAATTGCAACGAGCAATTTCAGGTGGGACACCAGGAAATATTCCTTTACCCAGAAAGTAATTAACACCAGGAATGAGGGCACTGAAGTCATTTAAAAACAACTCAATGCTGTGATGGGAGAATTGAAGGGTGGGGACTCTGCAAGGATAAAACCTAATGGACTGAAATGCCTTCTTCATCCGACCTTTCTTTCTTGTGGCCTTTGTTTCGCTCGAAAAGGCAGAACTGAAAATTCACCGCTTTGCAGCTTAATTGTTTTTCTTTGTTTCAGGATCATTTTAACGAGTGAGGGGGATATGATGGCGGTTAAGTAGTCATCGATCAAACAGTATTGATTAATTACTGCCGCTTCTCTATGTTGTACAGTGTATGTTTTCTGTGTGATGAAAACATACTCTTGCACCAAAACTGCATCCATCAAATGCTGAGGAGAACCCTTTACGGTTTTTGTTATGTCAGGGTATCAAGGCATATGGGGCAAGGGGGGTAATTGGAGTTGGGTTAGAATGACCTAACGATTCTCAGAGGGTTAAGGGGGAAGGAAGTGTTCATTGTGCAACATTCATCATAAAAGATCCAGCACAGTAACATATTTATTTATAGGGCACAAACTCCAGACTAATAAAAAAGATGCATTGCTTACCTTTCTCGTTACAGCTGGATCAAGGTAACCTTGCAGCTTCTGAATGTATGTATGTGGTGGGTTCTTCACTTGAAACCTTTCCTAGAGTAAGAAATATTCACACATGAAACAGTGAAATCACATTGCTTAACACAATTTCGTGTTCTTCCAGCACTAAACATCTGTAATCAAACATTTGTCAACAAGCACACACTCACTACCCTTTACAGTAAATCCTGTGAAGCGCTTGTAGACATCTTGACGATGTAAACTCACATATGATAAAGTCATATCAGTCAGAAATATAACATAGGAACGGGAGGAGGCCATTCAGACCCTCGAGTCTCTTCTGCCATTCCATTAGATCATGGCTGATCTGTAGCTCAACTCCAATTACCCCCTCACCCCATATGCTTTGATACCCTGACACAACAAAAAACATAAAGGGTTCTCCTCAGCATTTGATGGATGCAGTTTTGGTGCAAGAGTATGAATCCAGTCACCTGCCACTAATTATTTCAGGATTATACATGTGGAAAATTCATTCAGTCTACACTGTTAAATTATTAATTGCTGGATGCCACATCAACTGTGCAAAACCACAGCAAGACGACAGTGGGACTCTGCCTGCAAGTTATTATGTGCTGCTATTAAAGAAAATCTTTGCATATTTCCGCTCAACTATTACCATTTGTAAGTTTTACGTTTTTTTTTTGGAAATGAACACTGCATTGTTATCTGGGGACCTATGAAAATTATTTAAAAAAAACACAGTTCTAAACGCTGGTTTTAATTTACTCTGTGCGTTGCTCGTATCTGCTGAATTATAGCGTTACGTGCATTACAGGGAATACTTTACAGCAAAATGCTAGGCTCCATTATAGCCTTGGGTTCACCAAGCTTCCTTCCAGTCCCAACGGAATGCAGAATTGTACATCAGCCAACAGACACAGCCCTGGGATGCAACTTCAATATGCCTGGGCAATGATTGACTGCTCTTGCAACCCTCGTGTCCCAACAGAAGAATACGAAAAGGTTTCCTCAAGTGCTTTTATATTAAGTATCATTTCAATTAATAACCGGTGCGCAGGCCGCAACTTGTGTTTATTTGGGTAAAAAGTGTCCCTGCTTTTATTTGCTACGTGTTTTACATGCAGTTTCACAGGGTTTAAGGCCTTTGACGCTGACCCTATTGGTTTTCTCTGTCAAACATGGGTGTGATTTCAGCCTTAGCAATGCTATTTGCAAGTGCTGGCTTGTTCCCCTGTACTGGATACTGTCTACAAACATCAGGGTATAAGGAACGGTATCTACCTGAGTTGACATCAATTGAAATTGCCAGTGGAACCGAAAGAATCGATCGTTTGCCTTTAGAAATAAGTTTAACGCAATTAACGCAAAGATTGCGCGCTGATTGCTTGATTGCGATCTTCTCCGTGCACTTTGCTGGTCTGAGCAATGAGGATAAACAGACAGGGAGTCATTGCTAGGTCATTACTGCAAGTCTCTGGCAGACGGCCACTGTGAATATCAGCCGAGGTCCAGAGGCACGCTGTCTGCCGCTCCTCTTCAGACAAGAATTACCAAACAAGACTTAAAATTACTAAGGTGAAGCGTGCGGGTCTGTGTCATTCATTCAAGCACATAGCATGCCTTGCGCAATCGGCTGAAGTGTTTTGCCCACAAATTACACAGTCGCTACACTTTACAGTATGTACTGTGACGCGCTTTGAGACGTCTCAATGATGTGATAAGGCGCTGTTTCAAACGCAAGGATTATTATTATTATTATATCTTCAGTGGAAGAAAGGATAATTGTATTGCATTGGCAACAACAGTTTGTATTGGCCTTCGTGCTCACCCAAGGTAAATGATTGTTGCTATGTGAAGCACTTCTCAGTTGTCCTGTACAATATGGTTCCTTGGAAAAGGGAGGGAAAAGAGTGGAGGGGATTAGGTTGCCTCAGCTGCAACTCCTTGAGCTGAACTGGACTGAAAATGGAGAGAAGCCAAGTTCCTTTGCAGCATTTCAGAGAAACTCAAATTGTTCCATGTTTATATATAAAAAAAAGTAGAATTTAAACTTGTGTGTTGCTAGCCGTAGTAATATGAATAATTCTGCCGCTAACGTTATGCAATGGCACTCTGCGCTTTTAAAACAACAGACATCTGTCGGCTGCGTCTTCAAGCTGACAACCAAATTCCCCACCCACGTTAACAAACTGACCACTAACGTGACCTCAGCAAAACAGCTCCTTTCCAACAATCCCTGAAATCTCAGCAGCGTCGCAACATTAATCCTATTTTAACTTCAATATCACCTACTTCAGCTCAAAGTACTAGGATGATAAATGAACATGTTACAGGCAGTAGCATTTGGTTCGATATGATGAAAGGAAAATACTCTTGTGATTCATAACTTTTCCCTTTATTGATACAATGCAGCAGGAGTTCATGTGAATCGGGTGAATCACCTTTGTCTCTGTATAATAATAATACTGGTGCTTATCACAGCTCGCTATCGACTGGAAGGACGATCAATATGGTGCAGTCCGCTGGGAAATCAAAACCCCGAACACCATCCAAGTCAGTAGCCAACACTTTGTTCCACCGTTTGAACGAGTATTCTTATCTACAGCGGCCGGAGCCATAACAGCAGAAGAGAGCCAAGAAAAATGTGCGTCCTAGAAGAATAATAGTGATAGCTGTTCAAGTGTTTTGTCTGCGGTGAATGTTCTTTCTCATCTGTGCTCTTTTTGTTGAGGATGTTGATTGCCACAATGTGGGAATGTTCCTTCCAGTCTTCAATGAGGCACAAAACATAACAAAGGGATCCAGTGTAACAGTTATACTGTACATTGTCAGCTGTGATATATGGCAGTCAAGAAACATTGATTGGCTGCAGTGCCTGACCAATTTCTGGGTCTTGAAATCATAATGTTGCCCACTTGTTTGTTTGTTTTTATACCTATCATTTACCTTAAAGTTAACCTGAAAGCATTATCAACAAATGCATATTTTAAAAAAAATAATAATCCTTGCATTTTGATATATAGCCTTATCACGTCTTCGAGACGTCTCAAAGCGCTTCGCAGAATATACTGTAGATAACCTACTTCATGATCACAGCCAATGACAATCTATATCATTCCACAAAGACCCACTTTGCAAAGTGAGCCAGGACTCCCTGTTGATTTATACGACACCCAGGAGATGCCAAACCCAACAGTTCAGACCTTCGCCATCTAACAGCCCCGTCACAACCAAGCGAGGCGTGCTTGAATTCAAACGCGAGTCAAAGCTAGGATTCAAATCTGGTCTCTCTGATAAAGCACCTAACAACATACTGCTGGAGCTACACAAGCAAAAGCTTTACATCCATGCCAAAACCCACTCCTATTTTTAGAAGCCAAGATGTGCTGTGGAACATTTTGCAATAAATAAAGGATGAACCCATATCTGACAGTATTGGGAACCGGAGGACACTGGTTGAGATTACACTTGTTGAACTTGAAAGGGAAGTTATTTCTCTCAGTCTGATATCGGTCTGATCTTTAAATGATGTCCTACTTATTCGGTGCTTTGTACTGCATGCATGTTTTTTGAGGCACAAAGGGAGTGCTATCTATCCTGGGGCACATATGTCCCTGGTGATGGGAGATTCATTCATTGCATTCATTATCTTAGCAGTAACGGAGGGATTTCCATTCCCTGGATTTTCTCTTCTTCCCCAGAACCTTTCCAATCGGATAATATACAATGTTCTTTGGCTCGTAATCCCGCATTCAAATTAACCTAAATTCTCATCCACTGCCTGTATATCCCACTCACCATTTTCCAATATTACCTCTTAATACTTCAGTAAACCAGTCAACACATCACATACATAAATAGTGGGGAAGAAAATTCACACTGGCACCATATGCCAAACCAATACTTATATCTGCAAGAGACTGATGGCAACCAGACTGAATTACAGATGGATGGATATTATGCAGGCTGTTCCAATGCTTTTGCAGATATAAATTCGGAAGGCTTGGACATACACGTGCAAAAAGTGTACAAATGATTGATTCCCTTAAATGTATTTGGTCAACATACATGAACAATTGGTGAAAATTCAGACTTAAGCGATGGGTGAATACTGAAGGAATCCTTATTAAGTACTTAATGATCCAATCAGTTTGTTGAACGTGTTCGGGAAGTGAATGTTTGAGCAAAGAAACAACACGACTTCATACAGCAAAACTCGCCTAAGTCTGATCTGTATAAATCGTATGATCGCCTTGGTTGTACATCTACCCTCGTCCCATTCAAGAATTTATATTCTATGTAAGTTTGGCATAACTCATACTTTACATAAGTCATATTAAAGATATAGTCCCAACTGCTACAACTTATGTGAAGTTTATCAAATAAACTATGCAAAACGTAAATACATGTTTTTAAACAAAACAGTGAATGATGGACAATATTACTTGAACTTTGTAAGTAATACAGTACAGGATAGCTGTACGTACAATATAAAACCGACGATGAAAAGCAGTTTCATACCTGGTCACAGACGAGCTCCCACTTCTTCTCATTGTCATACTGACGTAACAATCTTGCTTTATCAGGAGGAAGGTTCATAGAATTCTGCAAGAGAAAGAAAAAAGGCTTCGAAACAATATTCCAGCAAATTGCCAAGAGTGAGGTTTTTTTTTCAAAATCACCCACACCCACAGAGCCATTATCCTGGAGTGCATCTGTGTTAACAGTGAACATTAATTCAACCCATTCACATGGCTGCACTCTGGGACGCTACCCAGTGTGAGAGGTGCTATACAAATGCAAGTTGTTGTTGTTGCACTCAGTCGCTCTTCAGTTCCTCAAAGAGGTCATTTCCACCTTCAAATTAAACCTACACAGACTGTTTTTGTTAAAGAAAGACTGATGATGCGGACATTTGTACTCAAGTCTTATTAATGTTAAATTCTTTAGAAACGGCTGCCCACTCAAGACAATCGATAATTGATTGGATTGTAGATATGTAAATGGCCAAGTTCAATTATCACTTTGATGCCTTTTGGGGTAGTGAGGAGCTGAGTGCCATGGAACACCAATATGTTCATGGGGGTGGGCAAATCCTGCTCGTGGCCAAGTTTCTATTTCTCAGCCTACATCAGAAGAGACTGAGATAGCTCCTAGACAGCAATCAAAGGTAGATGTATGGGACTGAAAGGATTGCTCTTAAAAGAGCCAACACAGAAATAATGGGATGAATTGCCTTCTTCTATGCTATAAATATCTAAGGTTCTGTGACTTTATCTAAAAGCTAATTACCACCCGACTTAGCAATAAGGACATGGCTTGACTCCCTTCAATAAATATATCAAAGCACCCACTGATGCTATTGGTATTGGCTTGGGCTTCAGAGGGAGTGAAAATAAACTATTCATAACAGGACCTTAAAGTAGCAACACACACAACTGGTAATCAGACTTTGTGGAGTGAACTTTTTTCTCAAGTCTTTCAATTTTATGGATGGTAATGAAGTCAGAGAACCCACGGGGCAAAAAACACAACTCTATAGAGGATCAATGCTGAAAGTCGATTCACTGCAGGTTTTAACAAGTTTGTTTACATCTACTCGCTTAAACGTCTGACTGGATGTTTCACATCTTTGTGGCAGATTGAGCCACGCAGCTACCAGCAGCAACAGATTCGAGCATGAAAAGGAGTTACTGAGTAACTCCCAAGTTACGCCATCGCTGGTTGACCTATTAAGTGAATAGTTACTATACTGTATCTCACTGGTAGCTGGACTATACAAGGTGACCACCTATTACAACGTGAGGGTTTGGATTCATCAATCAAATCAAACCTCACCTTTATAATGGCTGCCAGTCAATGGTTCCAGAATTTCAAACTATCCCCGATAATATTGTTTTAAATGATTCCACCCCAATTGTAATTGCAAAATAAAAAAAACTTTTTCAAACATTGGTGATAATTGTAGATGCAGATCATGATCGCCAATGTCCATTCGTAGTCTGCACAACAAGTCGCTGAATGAAACCAATGTGGCTATGGATTCTCCTAAATTAATCGCATTACCTCGTATCCCGAGGAATACTGCAACTGGCAGTGGACACTTTCCTCATCCATCAAAATGTTGCAGTAAAACTAGTTATTTAGTCTAGACATATTTATAGCGGTTATCCAAAAAAAAATTAAGAAAAAAAATCATCACAAAATTCAGTGTTTACTCAGCAGCTCAGTAAAATAAATCATGCTGTACTTTATCAGACACTATTTGTCTCTAACACAGTGTGTGTTCTGAAAGCATTTGTATTTTGCAATCTATTTGTTGATAATAAAAGCGCAGAAAGTGTATAAGATTCTCAGTGTTCTGCTGCATTCAATACTTTATTGACTGTATTTAATATTTAACTACCTATTTAATACTTTGCTTGCCCGCGCCAACTTACTCAGCAGAGCTCCTCATACTGCAGTTCGGTTCCATAAACTCCATAACCTCTCTAGTACATCAAGATAACTGACTGTTCTTTCCTCCTTAATGGCACAAAAGGCAACTGCAACACAGCATTCCCGCCCTTGCTATCATATATTTCAGGATAGACCATTGCACAATATCGTTACCAATTAAGCCGTGGGTGGGAGTGAAAGGAGAGAATGACCGATCTTATCCATTTTATTTGCATCTTGTAAAGAAAATGCTCTCACCACCTCATTTTTTCACCCTGCAATATGTACTAATCCTACAACAGTTAGACCTCTCCCCAGGCAATTGGTGGGAGGTGGGGTGGTGGGGGGGGAGAGGGGGCATTTAAAGGCTCAACCCTCACCAGAGAGCCACTGGGAGGTGCAAGAGAACCACCTGCCTGATTATCCTGTTGCTGTTTCCCCAATGAGGGGAAGTGTTTGGTCTCGAGTCCCCAACCACATCTGCACAGCTGTTATGTGGAATCTGCTAGATGGGCATTTGTGGAGGAAGTTACTCCATCCTGCCACTCTGCGCCCAGCAGGTGCCAGCGCTTGTAGTTTTTATTTAGAAGAGATTAGGGAAACATCGCCTTCTGCTTTAATTGAATGAAATGTCTTTAGTCCACGGTTTTCACATCACGCTGCAAGTTCGTGACCAGTTCAGGGCTGAACGGTTGTGATTCGTTCAGCTGTTTGGAAGTGCTTCTGAAGGTCAATTCACACCCACTGCTCTTTCCCCAAACCGCATTTTTAAAAAAAAATAAAATCAATTTGTGCAGGTTTTAGCAGTACGCTGACACTGAATGTTTTCAGAGCAATAGCCCCTCAATTCACCAGACGCTGAAATTGGACACAAACATAGGAACAGATTAATTTAATTGACTGCAAATGTTCTTGCACAACTCATCTGCATTGTAGGTGGTTTAAAACTCTGGTTACTGTTGTGAGTTTGACAGCGAACTCTCAACAGTGCGGCCTCCCAAGGAAGACTTGGGATTTATTTTGAAGCTTATTTTTACATAAATCTCATTTCGCTCAATTTGAATAAGTTACATATAGCAAAACATATTTTACAGCGCCCTGTTTACATTCCAGCGTTTAATTATGTTTGACAGAAACGTGATGGACCCTGAGCAGCACAACTCTGTGATAGCGATGGAAAATGCCACACACTATTTAGGCCAATACAGGCACAAGGGAAGAGAAACAGATGGACACTTTGACGGTTTAGTGTTTTATGTGCGAAGATATTTGACATTCGACTTTATGGCTTTTGTAATCATTCTGAGTTTTGCTAACTATCACAGTCACAGAGACCAAACACCCAATGTCTGGAATCACATCCGAAAGTTGTAAAACACATGAGCGTTTCATCAAGAACAGTCAGCCAGACCCCAAGAGTATATCACAACGCAAGTGTGTTACGCCCACCAGCATATTCCCCGAAACGCCTTACTTTTGAATCATAAACACAGTTCAGTTCCAGGGATTTGTTAGCACAGATAAAAGTTAATTAATCACTGCCCTGTCACTTGTGGAACCAGGATTCCAATAATAATAATATAATAATAATAATAATCCTAGCATTTGATATAGCGGCTTATCACGTGGTTGAATCTAGCCCAGACTGGTGAAAGTTTCTTCTCTCTGATGGCTTACTCTCAAGTTGTGGTTCAGTTATATTGTTAATGGATTGTAGGTTAAAGGGCGCTTTCTTTATCTTGCATTTAACTCTTGAGGAGCCCCTGATGCTAACTAACATAGCTTATGAAAGGGTTCCATTTACCAGCGATGACATTGTTCACCTTGATGGATGAAATAAACCCGACTTTAATATGTACAATTTTTCCTTTTGTGAGTTTTCGGATCCAGACTTTGTTATAGGTTGTCTGCTCAAATGCTGTTACAGATCCCCACGTTTATGACTATATAATACACATGTTTATAACAAAGCAGTGGGTGGGGGAAGAAAGTGAGCTATAAGTAACAGAGAGCTTTACGCAGAAACCCTATAGATTACACTGCTTTGATGGATGTAAGAAAGTTTGCATTAAATTGCAAAATGTAACAAGACTACACTTCATCTCTGTCTATTTCCAGATCTAGACATCTTGCAGCCTTTCATATTGATAAAAGTCCTGCATTGCCAGCACATGATATTCAAATGACAATTGGGCCTTGATCTATTGACCGTTGTATAACAATATTATCAGCCGATTTCCCTGATGTCATCGTTCGCAGTGACTTGTCAATTTTTTAGGTTGTATTGCAAATCAGATAAAGCGATAAATAAATAAATGAATACGCCCACAAGTTGTCATGTGGCTGTAATTCCAATAGCATCAGATGTAATCCCACGACACTGAATTATAGGCCGTGTATATTTATAGATGGCCTGTGGGTATGTTCCATTTCAGCACCGTTATAAACTTCTGTAGCCTGTTTAAAGTGTAATTTTACTTGGGAGGGCTGTCTCAGAAACTGTGGAGTTAGGAGATTTTGTGTAATTATGTATATTGTACACCCACACACACACTTATATCGTATGTAGAGGTCATTCCATCTCGCCCACTCCTTCCTCAGAAAGTTTGCAATCCACTGCACTCGATGGTGGACTTATCTCACCCATTTGATCTCCTGAGAAAAAGCTCTGCAAAAATATTCTCTAATGCCCAAAGGTAATCAAGCCAACTGCAGAACACTTGCCACGTAAGAACATAAGAATTGCTAGATGAAAGAAGGCCAAGGTCCATCAATTCGCCTTCCACTCTCCTGCCAATCGCTTGCATATGTCGTGTCCCAAACTATATCCTGTATCCCAAGATATTATTTCCTAACATAAAGTGATCTCATTTGTTCTTGAAAGAATTAACACCTTCTTGTTTAAGCTTCTCCCTGGAGAGCTTGTATCATACATTTACTTCTTGCTCACTGGTGAGCTATAGCTCTGTGCACGGCTTATAGAAGGGTAGAAATCTATAAAGGAGGAAAACAAAAGCACTTTTTTGTGGGTTTTAAAAAGAATTGCATCTGCTTTTTCTTAAACAGGTGAATGAATTATTAAGTACTTTTACTGGGATTTTGCAATATGTGTCAATATGTGTTGATTTTTATATTCTAAAAGTACAGTAAACCTCACATAAGTCACA